AACTATGTCTGGAGCAATTCCTTCCTAGCTACAGAAAAGTAAGGGCATCTCTAATATTTAGAAATAAAATAAGATCAAACAGCATTCACCATCACCTCTGGCCCTGGACCAGCCCTGAACAGCAGTGACCAGCCTGCACGGGGCCAGGGCCGGGGGGACCCTGGTGTTGCCGTTGACATTGCAGGGGACTGGGGGCGAGTTCTGGGGTCTCCGTTTCTTCCTCCCTAAAAGAGGGTCTTGCAGATCAATGGTATTATCTAGACAGCTCCAGGAGCATGCAGGCCGTCCAGAAAATTCATCCATGGCTACTGTTAGTTTTACGTGATTCTTACCTCATTAGTAGGAAGATCTGAAAGCCCAAGGAATCTTTTAACTGCCTAATTTTTATTTTGATTCTAACTTTATTTCTAGAATTTATTTCTATTTTGTTTGTGCCTGTATTTATATTATTAGGTTCTGTGTGTAAATGATAAAATTTATGTATAATTCATAATTTCTATAATTTATTATTATAAAAATTTAAATTTTATCTCTACCCTTTTTTCTTTCTAGAGTTTGTTTCATGTATACATATATCCATTGATATAATTCATAGGTTCTGTGTATAAATTATAAATTACGTAATTTATAGTTCATTATTATAAAATTTATATTTTCTAATTTTATTTCTAGAATTTATTTCTATTATATGTATACAGGTATTCATTTACATAATTGATAGGTGCTGTGTATAAATTACATAATTTATAATTTAACTTTTAATTTATAATTATAAAAATTTCTATTCTAATTTTATTTCTAGAATTTATTTCTATTATATGTATACATGTGTTCATTTATATAATTGATAGGTGCTGTGTATAAATTATAAGTTACATAATTTATAATTTAATTTATAATAAAATTTATTTCTTATTCTAATATTATTTCTAGAATTTATCTCTATTATATTTAAACATATATTCATTTACATAATGATAGGTTCTGTGTATAAATTATAATTTATATAATTTGTAATTTATTATTATGCAACTTTATCTTATTTCTTTTCTAATTTTGCTTGTATAATTTATTTCTATTTTATTTGTATATATTTATTTATATAGCTTATAAATTCTGTCTAAAGTATAAATAACATAATTTGTAACTTCTATAATTATATTAATTTCTCTTCTAATTTTGTTTCTAAAACTTATTTCTACTTATTTTTATATATTTATATAATTTATAAGTTCTGTATATAAATGATAAATTCTATAGTTTGTAATTTCTGTAATTATTATTGTAACTATATTTTCTTTCTGTTCTAGTTTTCTTTTTTCTTAATTTTTTACTTATTTATTATTTTTGACTGCGTTGGGTCTTCGTTGCTGCGTGTGGGCTTTCTGTAGTTGCGGCGAGCGGGGGCTACTCTTCTTTGTGGTGCGCGGGCTTCTCATTGCGGTGGCTTCTCTTGTTGCGGAGCACGGGTGTCGCAGGCTTCAGTAGTTGTGGCTCACGGGCTCAGTAGTTGTGCTTTGTGGGCTCTAGAGCGCAGGCTCAGTAGTTGTGGTGCTCGGGCTTAGCTGCTCCGTGGCATGTGGGATCTTCCAGGACCGGGCCTCAAACCCATGTCGCCTGCGTTGGCAGGCGGATTCTTAACCACTGCACCACCAGGGAAGCCCCGATCTATATTTTGTTTCTGTTCTAGTTTTGTTTCCAGTATTTATTTCACTTCTATTTCCATTTGTATAATTTATAAGCTCTGTGTATAAATTGTGTAACTGATCATCTCTATAAATTATTATCAGCAGTATTTATATCCTCGTTGTGATGTCTGCGTCAGTGCGCCACCCTGATGGAATTTAAGGGAAACCGGATTCGGGCCTCGTGCTGTGCGCTCGTCACTTGCACAGTTCATGGTTGTGGAACCTCAGATTCGCGGTTCAGCGGGTTTGTGAGGCACGTGCAGCTGCACAGCTCCCCAGGAGGAGCCGGCGCCCAGGGTGGCCTTGGGGACGTCCTGGGGCTTGTCCTCGGTCTCGGGAGGAGGGAACCGAACAGATGGCTGGGGGGGGAGGGTGCACGGCGGTGGGGGAGGGCGCACGGCAGGGGGTGTGTGTGCTGTGGGGATGACTCAGGCCCTGCGTCTGGGGGGGCCGCCTCACATCTGGAGGTGTCCCCTTCCGCATCTGGAGGTTGGAGGGGCCGCCTGGAAGCTGCAGAGGCGGTGCAGGCTGCCTCCGATGGGCTGGGCAACGGCAGCCGGAAGAGAAATGCCTGGGTGTCCCCCTCGGATGCCCGGCCCCTCCCCCAGCCCCACTGGGTCTGCTGTTCCTGGGTTTTCGTGCGGGACCCCGGGGGCTCAGCAGAGGGCTCTGAGTTGAGCCATGAGCTCTCCTCTAAGCGAGGCCACGTCAACGGTACTCAGGAGCCCAGATGCACGGGGAGCAGGGCGGGGCACGGGGAGCGGGGTGGGGCACGGGGCCCAGGTGGGCTGGGGAGGCTCCAGGCCCTGGACACGGAGCTACCAGGCAGACAGACAGACATGTGCACGCATGCTCATACGCAGGGCACAGACACGCATACATACACAACACTCACGATGCATATTCGCGCGCGCGCGCGCCCATGAGCACATACCTGCACCGCACACGCACCAGTGCACGTGGACATGCATGTGCACAGGTACACGTGGGCACGCGTGCAGTTCACCCACATGCAGTGTGCACGCCCGCGGGTGCACGTGGTCACAGACACTCGCACACGAGTATACTCACGTGCACATCCGTACACAGACACACCCACACAGGAGCATGCGCGCGCACGCATCACGTGTAGCAACATCTTACGTTCAAGTGTGTTGCTGTTGGTTTCAACATTCCAAAGAGCCTTGTCTGCTTGTTTTTTCCAAATCCCCGTCCGAAACGCAGCATCGTCCGCTCCTTGAATCGCTCTGTTTGGGGTTACTTGCCTCCCCCCGCCACAGTCAGGTGTGGAGGCGTCCCGATGGCAGGGGCGCTGAATATCTCAGGAAGGTCCCAGCGCCGTCGCTTCGGCAGAGGGAGCGTAGAGGGAGTGATAACGGTTGTGGGTCTCTAAGCAGACGTACAGGACCAGAGACGCGCATGTATGTGTAGGCTTTGCACCTGCCCGGGGCGGGGGGGGGTCTTCGGGGCTGAACAAATCCCACCCTCCCCAGCCGCCCTGGCTACCACGTGGACATCTGCCACATGCTGCAGGAACAGCTGAAACCACACCTGTCCCTTCCGAGCTCTGAGATCCAGAAACCAGCGCCCCTCCCCCTGCGAGGGCTGGGGTCCGTCCGACGCAGGGCCTTCCCAGATGCTGCTGCTTCTGCTGCCTGTTGTTTTCTTTGTTTTTAATTCGGGGGCACATCTCATTGTTCATGTCGTAGTTTTTATGGAAGTAGAGTTGACTTACAATATTAGTTTCAGGTGTACAGCAAAGTGATTCAGTTATATATATATATATATGTAGCAGATTCTTTTCCCATGTAAGTTATTACAAGATATTGAATAGAGTTCTGTGGGCTCTACAGTAGGTCCTTGTTGTTTATCTATTGTATATATAGTCATGTGTATCTGTTAATCCCATACTCCTAATTTATCTGTTCCCCCCTCCCTTTCCCCTTTGGTAACCGTAAGTTTGTTTTCTATGTCTGTGAGTCTGTTTCTGCTTTGTAGATAGATTCATTTGTGTCGTAGTTTAGATTCCACATATAAGTGATATCATAGGGTGTTTGTCTTTCCCTGTCTGACTTTCTTCCTTTAGTATGACAATTTCTAGGTCCATCCACGGTGCTGCAAATGGCATGATTTCATTCTTTTTTACCTGCCTGCCTGTTCTTAATACACACATGGAAAATCACACACACAAATACACTTCCCAAACTGCACGTAGACACACTTACACATGGGCACACGCCCAAACTACACACGTGCACATACAAAACCCCACATATACACATACACTACACACACCACAAATACACACATGCCAACTGCACTTAGACACACACATGTGCACACATGCAAACCACCCACACACCTACACACAAAACCCCGTGGATCCCAAACAACTCAGTAAACGGACACACACACACACCCCCAATCGCTCACACACATAGCTGCGCGCACACACACACACACACACACACACACACACACGAGAGAGAGACAGAGACAGAGACAGAGACAGAGACAGAGACAGAGAGAGAGAGTTACAGGCTGACACCTATCTGTGAGACATTCAGGGGGACTGAACACATTGCAACCTTCTGGAGGCCCCCGGGGATGAAGGTGGCTTGTTACACGCCCAGCACTTCCTGACATGGGACATGTGTGCCCTTTGCTTCTGCCCCTGCAGGACGATCCTCCGACCCGCTGTCACCCTCCTTTCCGCTGACCGGACGGTCCAAGTGGACTGTTCCCCGATTCCCTAACTGTGCTTTCCTTCAATCCATCATTAATTGGATAGAAATAGAAATCGTATTGAAATTGCTTCAGTAAAGCAGTAGCAACAGGATAGAAGCACCGTGGAATTAAAGGCAGTTTCCCCCCTTCTCTGGGATCACAGGAAATTTAAAAGAAAGTTTACCTTTTTCTGGGTTGTCTGGTGTTTCTACGAGAAGTACATTTTGGTCGCATAATTACAGAGATGTTTTTCTCTCCATGTTTTTTCTCCATCATGTATTGGAAATCGTTACTCACCTATTTCAAAACACCTGCTTTTTTAGACCAACGCACGTGCAGAATTATCATGGTTCCCCACTAATTTAATTGCTGCTAAACTCTAAGGATGTCCATAATGTAAAACCTAAGCTGACATGTTCTTACGTTTACACATGAGAGTGAATATTTCAAATGAGAAATCACAGCATGTGATGCATTTTCAAAGCCGCCAGACATCTCAAAATCATGCCCTTTTTTAATTGTCTTCTTAATTTCCCAATTTACTTTTATTTGACTTATTTCTAATTGGACTCTTTTTTCTTTTAGGCCAGGATTTAGATTTATCGCATGCCCTTGATGGTGAGTAACATTAAAACATTTTGTAAACTACAGGGAATATTTTATTGGACTGTAGTCAATCTTTTGAAATATGTCTTACTGTGATAACCAGACTCACGTAGGATGAGGAAAATCAACATGCCCTTGTCAGGGTAAATGAACCTTTTTTGGTGGAATAATTTCCACGTTCTGTGGTGGTGAATGAATGCCACGTGGGCTTGCCATGCGCTTGGGGAAGGGGCTGGTCCCCCGTGGGCTGGTCCCCCGTGTGCTCACTGATTCCATCCCTTGGCTGGTGGCTGCATGACCCCAGTCTCTGCCTCTGCCTCACGTGCCTCTATGTTTTCCCATTTCCTTCTGATAAAGGCACTCGTCTATAAGGGTTTGTGCTAATCCACTGTGACCACATCTTAACCAGTGTTTCCAAATAAGGTCACGTTCTGAGGTTCCCAGTGGATGTGAATTTGGGAGCCCAGTATTCAACCGAAAACATCTTTTTTTTTTTTTTAATTGGAGTACAGTTGCTTTCCAATGTTGTGTTAGTTTCTGCGGTACAGCAGAGTGAATCGGTCATACATATGTATACATCCCCTCTGTTTGGGATGTCCTTCCCACTTAGGTCACCACAGAGCACTGAGTAGAGTTCCCTGTGCTCTACAGTAGGTCCTCGTTAGTTACCTAGTTTATACATAGTACTGTATGGATGTCAGGGCCCCAAGATATCTTTTTCACTCCTGGGGTCCGATGCAGAGGTGTGAGTCAAAACCGTGAGGGCAGTAGTATTCCCCAAAGCCAGCGGGGGTTAAGTCTTCTTCTTGATGATGGAACCCTCACTGGCTGGTGGGGAGAGATGCCGGGGAGGTGTCTGTGGTCCTAATGGCCTCAGCCCACACTGCCTTGGTTGCCTGGGGGTCCCAAGGAGCAAAAGGTGTGCTGCACGCAGTGAATGTGCACAGCCTTTGAGCCGAGGGTCCCGTGTCCCTCCTTCTCCCACACAGGTCCCGGGCTCTCCCTCGTGTCCTGTGTTCTCCCGGGTTCCCCTTTCCCTCACAGTCCCCCCACTTGGCGTCATGAGGTGGGAGGGGTCCTTGGTCTCCGTGGCAGCCATGGTCGACATCATCCTATGTTCCTGTTGCCGTGGGTCCTCCAGTGCTTGGCCACTGCCAGGAAAAAACGATGCTTCAAACGTTTTCTGAGTCTTTTTAAGGAAAACAGAACAGTGTCGGGAGTTGCTTTCTGTTTCCCAGCTGCGAGTTTTACTGACAGAAATGTCTTTTCTCTTTAGACAAGAAACCCACTCCGATCCCACCAAAAAAAGCCACCGGTAAGAAGCAAAGGCGCCCAACATGCAAACACAGCCGAGAAATCGTTGTCGTGCGCCCCAGTTTTCCCAAGAGCTTGGTGAGACGTAGTCAGCGATTCACCGGCTCTGGATCCAGCCTGGTTAATATTTGAATTATGCTGGGATGCGGGTGCTTTCAAGGCCACAGAGGCTGTAAGAGAACGGACGCTGACACTTTGGCGAGATGCGTTTGGGTCCCCTGGAAGGCATCTCGGGATGCCTTTCTCCTGAGTGTCTGTCCCTGGTTTTGGATACTCATTTCTTGGCAGGAACAGTTTTAGGACCCTGGGACCCTCCTATAAGCCATGAGCAAACTTCGATCTCAGCCTCTAGGAGGAGCCTACTAGCTGTCACTAACCCTTTCCAGTAAACGTCAGGAATCAGACCGATCGTGGAATTGACCAAGGTCAGAGTTACTGGTGGTTAGTCACCCACAGTAAAATCGATGCCCAGAGTTACAGAGCTCTTATCACTGATTTTTTAAAAAATGTGATAGCTCTCTTCAAATGTTGGGCTTCTCATCTAGAAGGGCATCTTATGAGGAAAAAGATAGCGTTGTTCAGAGCCAGGTCCTTGACCTGTGCAGGCACGCGGAGGATGCTGGACCAGTCATTATTGAACAATGGACTTTGCTCCCTGGGGCAGCAACGGTGTTTCCCAGTCGTGACTCGTGATGGGTCAGTACATCGTGTTGGGTGGATACACAGGCTCACCTAGATGTTGCTGGGACTTGCAAAGAGTCCTTAAAACTAAGAAGGCAACCTCAGAAGCCATCAGGAGTTGTCACATCATTTTGTCAAGCACACCTGGGTCAGTTGAATCATTTTCTTGGTGGGCACAAGCCCAGATCTGGCCTCAGACTTCCCCCCTTATCTCGTACTATCTACCTTGTGGAAGTTGTTGGCAACTTGGTAGGGGAAGATGCTAGGATGAACGGTCCCCGGGGAAGAACTGTCTGCAGGCGGAAGTTGGAATTTCAACTCGGTCCATGGGGCGTACTTGTTTTATAAATTACTTGCATTGTTTTGGTTTGGTTTTTGCCTTTTATTCCTTTCCTTGGAGAGAAGGAGGATATGGATACAGTCAGGAATTTGGTTTTTCTGTTGAGACGTTGGTCAGACTGATACTCAGGAAAGTGTTTGGAGATGTGGAGATGCAGTGTTTCCTCCATCTATTAAGGAAGTCATTTCTGTTCCTCGTTTCACCCAGAGCTTCAGTATTAACTATCTGTTTTTCTCCTTTAGATGATAACTTCAATTTAGAAGATGCCCTTGGTGGAGGGAGCAGTAAGTGGTACCTCTTAAATCTCCTATGTGTCTGACTGGCTTATTTATCATTGCAAAGAGGCTTGTCTCTTTTACATAAGTCGAATTCGTTTTTACGACGAAAACCTAAGGAATAGATGTATTGTTTGTTGTGGTTGAGTTTTTCTGGCTTTTATCCGTAGGCCTGCTTTTATTTTAAAGCTCTTACAGTCTTTTGGGGTGATATAAGACAAACTGAATGTCCTTGCCGGGGCTGGCCTCGTGGGTGCGTAGGGTCACACAGGGCTCCACACTCAGAAGGGCTTCCCTCCTCGGTGGACTGCTCTGTGGCCGCCATATTGAATTTCTTAGTACAGTTTAAACAAGGGACCCTGCATTCTCATTTTGCCCCGGGCTCCGCAAACTCTGTAGCTGGTCCAGCCGTCTGCTTTATTTTCTATTGGAAATACATGAATTTAAGTATTGCAGCTGGATGATGATGGAAAGAAGTCCACAGGTGCCTGTGTGTACGGGTATCCCCATCATGACAAAGTACTTGCCCCGCCACGACAAAGGACATGCTTCCGTTTCTAACTGTTTAGTAAACCATTTGTGTGCAAATGCACGTTTTGTTGTTTTGACTGCAAAGTGCTCATAATTGCACTTCTCCTCTTTTACAGATGACCCGGTGACACCCGAAGCACCCAAACCAAAACCTAATCCAAACCCCAAGCAGCCCGGCTCTTCTGGTAAGACCTTCTCGCCCCTGTGGGTCCTTGTGTGTTTCTCAGAGTACAGCGATTTCCATGTCAGCTGAAAGGAGGTAATTTCAGATTTAGCGCGATCTTACTGTGAACGGTAATGCCCATCTTCCAGTCATGGAAAACAGTTTTCAAAAAGACATTTTTGGTTCGGGTTTGATTTTTAGTTTGCTGATTTAACTTCCAAGGTTTTAATGGAAACTTTAAAACATTAAATATAAGATTTTAAATATAGAGAATCAATATGGAGAAAAGTATCAGCTTGTTCTTTCCCTTTAGAGAAGCTCTTGGTTTTGTTTTTTTTTTAAAGGTTTTTGCCGCCTTTTTTCGGACACATCATAGTATTCTCTGAGTATTTGAGCAACATCAGTGTTCTGAGTTGAATGGCTGTTGAAACTTCAGATTTTGAGTTGGCTTTTTTGATTGTTTATACATTAGTTTAATTTTTAATGCAGAAAAGTAGAAATACTGTCCATCCTCTACCACAGTGAAGATGGTTTTTCTCCCTAGTATTTTATATCAATTTAAATGAAACAACTGTTAAGTAAAACTGTCAATCTTTTATTCACACTGTGTCATAACATTATGTTTTGCTTATTAGTATTCCATAAGCATTTTCTTATGTCATTTAATAATTTTTATCATATGACTTTTCTTGGCAGTTATATACTGTCATAACTAATCCCTAATTTTGAAAATGTTATGTTTCTCTGCTATTTTAGAAGTATGAGTTGCAAAGCAAATTGAAGCCACCTTCACATGCTTTCTTATGGTTTTATTTCTTTTTTTTTAATGAATAAATAATTTTATTTATTTACTTATTTTTGGCTGCGTCGGGTCTTCGTTGCGGTGCGTGCACTTCTCATTGCGGTGGCTTCTCTTGTTGCGGAGCACGGGCTCTAGGCGCGCGGGCTTCAGTAGTTGCGGCACGCGGGCTCTGTAGTTGTGGCTCGCGGGCTCGGTAGTCGTGGCGCACAGGCTTAGTTGCTCCGCGGCATGTGGGATCTTCCCAGACCAGGGCTCGAACCTGTGTCGCCTGCATTGGCAGGTGGATTCTTAACCACTGCGCCACTGGGGAAGTCCAGTAATTGTATCTTTGAAAGATTCCTTCCATAGAGTAGTACGTTTATGGGGTTCCCCGCCACTCCATGTCTGCTTTTGATTCTGATACGTTTCCCTTCACCCCAAGACATCAAGACACTCCCGACGGTTCTGATGTGAGACATGATGCTGTCTTTTTCCTTCTAGATGGCTTTTCGGATTCGGACCTTACTGATGGGACTTCAGATGGAGGTAGGGTTCCCCTTCTTTTTTTGTCTTTCTCTCTCTTTTTTTTTTTTTTTTTTAATCTTTTGTCTGCGCCGCGCGGCATGTGGGATCTTAGTTCCCCGACCAGGGATTGAACCCACACCAGGAAGGGCAGAGTGTTAACCACTGGACCGCCAGGGAAGTCCCTCCGTTTTTTATTTTATATTGGAGTAGAGGTGATGAACAATGTTGTGTTAGCTTCAGGTGTAGAGCAGAGTGAGTCAGTTCTACATAGACACGTGTCTGTTCTTTTTCAAATTCTTTTCCTGTGTAGGTGATTGCAGAATATTGAGTGGAGTCCCCTGTGCTCTACCGTAGGTCCTTTTTCCACCTCTGTCTTTAAAATCTTAGGTCCATGTGGAGGCAAAGCAGTATTTAAATATAATAAATAAATAAGTGTAAAATTAATATATGCTTAGAATAGTTATAACTTGATGAAAGATATAGTCTTTTTTATGTACTTATGTATGTATAAATGATAGTGTATACGTATGTTACATATAAATTTATTTGTACTATATTCATCTGTTATGCATATGTAATCTAAAATAGGTATATGTGTAGTATATGTGTATGCAATATATAAGGCGTAGCCAGACACAAGGTAAAGATCTTCTCCCCCAGGATTCCTTTGGGCCACCCTCAGGAGGTGGGGAAAGACTGTGCGTCAGCCTTGAATTTGGGCCTCACTCTTGGCCCACAGCCTCCTAGGAGGGCTGCAAACTCAGAGCCTCTGGACCTCCCCCTGGAGGGAAGCTTCTTCCATGGCAGTTAACTCCAGCTTCCCCCGCCAGGTAGAAAACCCTGGCTTCAGCCCCCAGTTTGGGAAATCTTTTATTTCTAACTCTGCCATCGAGCTCTGGTTCTTGTTTGTTTCTTGGAGAATGGAGCGTAAACGGTGAATAATAATAATAAGATGACGTGAAGATTTCCCAGGAGGTGACCCATGACTCTGACATCCTTGGGGAGGGACTTTCATGCTCTGACGTCTCCCCACACTCCCGCCCTGACCCGTGTTCTCCCCGCTGCGTGTAAAATCTGTTTATTGTCCCTTCCCTTTTTAAGCATTTAGGTTATACCAGTTTCTTTTTTTTTTTTAATAAAAAAATAACATTTTTATTTGTTAACTGCCTGATACTCCTTAATACTTTTTTTTGAGTTTATCGTTGCTGTACAGTATTGTATAAGTTTCAGGTGTATGACGTAGTGATTCAGTATTTTTCTAGGTTGTACTCCATTTAAAGTTATTATAAGATATTGGCTCCATTCCCTGTGTTGTGCAATCTATCCTTGTAGCTTATTGATTTTATATATAGTAGTTTGTACCTCTTAATCCCCTCCCCCTATTTTGCCCATCCCCCTGGGCACAGACTGGGAACCACTCCTCCCTACTGGGAACCACTGGGAACCACTCGTTTGTTCTCTATATCTGTGAGGCTGCTTCTTTTTTTTATTTTCACTAGTTTGTTGTGATTTTTAGATTCTGCACCGGTTTCTTGTACGTATCTTTACGCTTTGATATTGGATGTCCTCCATGTGGTTCCCTTAAGGTGGTTTCTAAGAAGTAGGGTTTCTGAAAGGAGTTCCCACTTTTACATCCCTTCATGGATTGCTACATTGCTTTCCAGGATGGCTGGGATCGTTGATAGTCCCACTGGTAAGAGGACCATGTAAGAGATTGCTGGGTTCATTCCTCTCTGGCCTGCCTTAAATGTTACTGGAAACATTTTTGCTTTGAATCCTTGCTTGTTGGAGTGCCATTGATTGACATCAATGGATGAACCAGCCCCCAAAGGGTTATAAGTCTGTTTCTATCAGTCACGCCCTTACGGTGACATGCTTTTTTATCATCTCGTTTGCCTTCTACCGGGAATGCCCCTACCTCCCCTCTTGAGCTCACATACCTTTCAGAGTAAACCCCTTCTACCCTGGTCCCCAAAGTCATGTCTGCAGTGGCTAGCTGTCTACCTTCTAATTGGTTTTCCGTTTAAATTTACATCTCTAGGTGCTGTACAAGATCGCCCCATTTTGAGGAGTGTAACAGACAGGATTCTAGTTTGATACCCGTGTAACGTGCTCTTACCCACTGAATGTAACAGGCCGTACGCTGGCTCTGTAGCTGCGTAACATGCAGCCCCTCCTTTGTAGCAGGCAGTGTTGCTCCATAGCCATGTAACATGCAGTGCCTGTGTGACTATACTGTAAAGACACACTGGGAGTGACTGGCTGACATTAAACAAAGCTGAAGGCACCCTCACAAGTGTACAGTCCACTGGGTGGATTCCTGGTTTGTGCACTAATAATTGTACAAGCATCAGCTTAACATCAAGTATCAGGAATGGCCTGACGGTCCAGTGGTTAGGACTCTTCGCTTTCACTGCCGAGGGTGCAGGTTCAGTCCCTGGTCGGGGAGCTAAGATCCGCAAGCTGCGTAGTGTGGGCAAAAAGAAAAAACAAAACGAGACAAACAACAACAAAAACATCGAGTATCCCTTGGCATTAAATGTGGAAAAAGTAGAGGGGGTGGTGAAGCGGCATCCCTTAGCCCCGGGGAAAGCACGAAGGAAGACCATACCCAGAGGTGGTGGGTCCCTGGATGGCACATGGCTGACAACCACCCCTAGTGAGACTGGGGGCCTGAGAGGTAACAGGAATGTGCCTGGGATGACCCCATAGCCATGCGAGCATCTAGGTTTCTTAGTTTCTTTTTTTTCTCCACTTTTTTTTCTCTCTTTTTTTTCTCTTTTTTTTCTTCAAGGGTGGAGTAGAGCTGTGCACACTTCTCAGGTGGGCTCTGAGGCCCTTGCTGGGTTTCTCCCCGAATCCCTGGGGGACTTTGAAGACTCAGTGGGTCTCCTGGGGCCCACCATGGGGCCAGGGGGTTGAGTCAGGTGCCAAGCCTGGATTTCAGGGACACGGGAGCAAGACAGGTGATACCTCCCGCAGAATGAGGACAGCCCCTCCCATCAGTGGAAAGGGACACCCTGATATTAACGGCCTCATCAGTCCCACGGTCATTCCTCTTAAGGAACCTTCACAACCCAGGGTCAGAGGAGCTGGTCCTTGGTATGAGTTTTCGGTTACCGAACGTCTTCCCAGCGCCATTTGTCACCAAGCCTCATTCCTCTCTTACAGGAGGCGGTGATGGCGGCAACCAGAGGCCTGGAGGGGCGGAGCAGGGTACGTACCCCTGGTTCCTGATGTCCTGGGTTCCTCACGTGTACTATTGAGGAAAGCAGGAGCCAGTGGTCACAGCCTCACTTTTAGTATTTGCAGCGTCATCTGAAAGATACTGGCATGAAGAATGGTTCTCTGGACACGCGTTCCAAGGGGGCTCAGCGGAAACACAGGCAGACCCCGGAGATGCTGAGGATTCAGGTCCAGACCACCGCAGTCAAGCGAATATCACGATACCGCAAGTCGCACGAATTGTATGGTTCCCCGGTGCATCTAACAGGGATGTTCACACTACACTGTAGTCTGTTCAGTGTGCAGCGGCATTATGGCCAAGAAAAAACACCACGTGCAGGCCTAGATTTATAAAACTTTTTATTGCTAATGAATGCTCACCACCCTCTGAGCCTTCAGCGAGTCATAGGAGTAACGTCAGAGATCACGGATACCGTCACAAACAGAATCATGATGAAAAACTTGAAATATTAGAAGAATTACCAAAATGTGATGCAAAGACGTGAGGTGGACAAATGCTGTTGGAAAAATGGCGCTGATAGACTTGCCTGGCGTCGGGTGGCCACAAACCTTAAATTTGTTAAAAAAAAAAAAAACAGGGCTTCCCTGGTGGCACAGTGGTTGAGAGTCCGCCTGCCGATGCAGGGGACACAGTCTGGGAAGATCCCACGTGCCGCGGAGCGGCTGGGCCCGTGAGCCATGGCCGCTGAGCCTGCGCGTCCGGAGCCTGTGCTCCGCAACGGAAGGGGCCGCAGCAGTGAGAGGCCCGTGTACCGCAAAAAAACCCCCCAAAAACAAAAAAACCCACAGTGTCCGTGAAGCGCACTAGCTTGAGGTCTCCCTGCTGCCGACGGGATCTGCATTTTAAGTTCAGTCGCCCTCCCAAGGTGCCCTAAGAAGGAACGCCACCCATATTACCCAGGGGCCTCCAGAGAAACAGGACCGCTAGGATGTATAGAGATGAGTAGAAAGACACTTACTGTAAGGAGTTAGCCCACGTAGTTACGGAGGCTGAGAAGGGCCTCGATCTGCTGTCTGCACGCCGGACACTCAGGGAAGTGGCCAGTCAGTCCCCATGCGAAACACCGACAACCAGGACAGCGAATGGCGTAGGTCCCAGTCTGAGTCCAAAATCCCAAGAAGCAGGATCACCAATGTCCAAGGGCGGGAGAAGACAGACGTGCCAGTGCAGGCAGAGAGCAAATGGTCCCTTTGTGATCTAATCAGACCCTCAGTGGATTGAACGATGCCCGTCCACGTTGGTGAGGGCTTTTACCCAGGCTAACGGATTCGAACGTTATTTTTTTCTGGAGAGGGCCACATGGACACATCCAGAAATAAAGTGTTCCCAGCTGCCTAGCAGGCCCTGGCCAGTCCAGCTGACACATAGGGTGAACCGTCCATCACACCGTCCTTTTTATTCACGGGGGAGGATGTCTTGTGCACCTGCCGTGTCAAGAAGCAGCTGTAGATGTGGGACGGATGCAGGTAGTTTTAGAATTCTTGGTGGGGGGTGGAAACCCCGTCACCCTAGAGCACATGAGACTAACGAAGATGTGGGCGACTTTGATTTTTCGGAAGGTACATGAAGAGACGGCCATCTGGCTGCTTGAGGTCACACGGCCTCTGAATGGTCCCCGCTGGGATTTATCACCCACCTGAGACCTTCCTCACTGAGCTGGGAGGACAGCTGAGCTGGTCCTAGGGGTGGGGAAGAGGTGGGGTTTGGCCTCCCACTGGGAGCCAGTTCTTGGGTTGGAAACAGCTCGCGTAGTAAAACGAATTCCGAATTCCGACGTGGCTCCGGAGTGACGGGCCCTCCCTCCGTGGTTACCGGGAGCCCCTGCCTCTCAGGCCTCAGCCCCACCCTCTTCCTCCGGGCAGGGCCGCCAGCCCCCGGCGTGGTCCGTGCGCGAGGGTTACGTGTGTCACGGTGTCCTGTGCTTCCTTCCACAGCCGACTCCCCGGGGGTGGTCCCTGGGATCATCGGTGCCGTCGCAGTGGCCGTGGCCGGGGCCATCTCCAGCTTCATCGCCTATCAGAAGAAGAAGCTCTGCTTCAGAGAGAACGGTAAGGCGCTCACCGCCGCATCCTTTCCGTGGGGCCTTGCTGCTTTGAAAAGCGTGCTTTCTTTTAAAAAAAAGAACTAAAAAGCAGAGCTCAGGTTGGCACAAACACGTGGAAGGCGGCCGAGGGGGTCCTGAAGTGGCTAGAGAACTGGGATCTGACTTTGTGGCTTTGATCCCAGCGTCTCCTGTGTTTAGCCATGTGAGCTGGTGCAAGTTACTAACCATTCCATTTTGGGGGGCAGGCGTCCCCGTAACGAGGAGAGATGATAGTCTGCGCTTTAGAATTTTTGTGAAGGTCAATAAGGTCATTGTGAAGGTCAGTAAGGTCATGGGTGAAGGTCAGTAAGGTCATGGGGGAAGGTCAATAAGGTCATGGGTGAAAGTCTTGACAGGTTGCCTGGGAGAGAGTGAGTGTTGAAGAAATGTTAGTTCTTACGATTCATTCGTTGTTATTTACATGGACCGCCGAATACCACCGTTACCAGCACAGAGGTCGGAATTCCATCACCGGGCATTTTGGGACTTTGTACTCAAATGCTAAGTTACTTAGGATTCGTCCTGACATCAGTGAGTTCTGCTGTTCTGAGCACAGTTTATGTTTGTGCATCTCTGGAAGGCTCTGTCCAGGTCTGGCTTTGAGAACCAGCGAGGGCTGGGTTGCGGTGTTTGTGGCTGTGGCTGCCCATCCTCCATGGAGGAGGCTTGTGGTATCTGAACTTCCCTTCTGTGTATGACCCTAAGTCCTTATCCATACTTTGCTGTTGGCCATAGGTGTCATCTGCCTAAAGGACCCTTTCCTGAGGGTTCTTGGGAAATTCCCAGAAGACTTGATGGAGGCCAAGTTACCCTCTAGGGATGGAGTTTATCCTTCATCTTCCATCATTCCAGATTTCTAGGTTCACAGACACTATTTATAGCCTGAAATTAAAAGTCTGACACACTGTTTGGATTCAGAGACCTAAAATAAGAGGCCATTTTTATATCCCTCTGCTAGCAGTGGAGGGTAAGGGTGCCTGAGTGCATCTTATTTCCCTCGTGTGAGTGGGTCGCCTTCCATCTGGCCGCGCTCAGGAAAGTGTGGTTGGCTGGCGGAATGGTGGGCGTCCAGCAATGCCCAAATGGATAGATGACCAAGTTCCAGGAGATACTTACAAAAGATCTACAGTTAGAACCAAGTGGGGGGAAACAGCACAAAAGAAAACACCGTTTTCTTTTGCTTCTCCTAGAACGAGCGAAGACTTAAAAGACTAGGGATTCGATAGAAGTGAATTTCTGTTTCCTTTTCAATCACACTTTCCACTTTCTCTGAAGATACTCAAACTCAGAGCTTGACGCCCAGCCAGGAGAGGAAGGCGCTCGCTAGGCAAGATAAACAGGAAGTCCTGGCCCCGAGATTTCCTGAAAATCTTCAGGTGAACCCCAGTTGGACTCTGGAATTACAAAGCATTTCTGTTACCGTGTGAACGGGATACATGACTCTCTGGATGTTCGTATGTCAAGACACAGGGATTTGAGGAAACACCCGAGAGTCTTAATAGACTTGACATCATCTCATATTTGGAAAAGGGATTCAGAAATTGGGAAAACCAAGTGTTCTGCATCCCACCCTACCCCACCCCGGGGTCTTGGTCTTGGGTTCAAGCACTGTTCCCCCATTGCAGGGGGAAGGGATGGGCATGGAAACGGAAAGCTTCCCGGGTAGAAAGAGTTGAACGTACGATTTTCAAAACCAAAGCGAACTTTCTGAAGAACTGGCTCAGAGCAGGCGAGGGTTCAACTTTCGCTTCCGGAGAGGCTGGCTCCATTCATTCCCCTAGAGTATGTCCTCCAGTCTGTCTTCGTAGGCTGAATTAACATTAGGTGCGACTTTAAATTTTTGATTTGCTTTGTGGTTTTCACAGGTCCATGCTCTTGAGCTGATGCAGATGCACAAAGAAAAAGGAAAAAAAAGGGGGGGGGGGTGAACCTTCATGAGGGAAGGGAGCGGGTGTTTCTGATTTCAGTAATTAAGCACTTTTGTCTCCAGCTGTAAAGTGTCCAGCAGTGACACAAAGAAACTTAGGTCCCTTTTCTCATATAAGCACCGAGTCTAACGCAAACAGTGAGCATCTTTCTGACTACGTGCGGTTTATAGACCTGCCTTATAGAATGAATTCAGTGTTTGTTGTCAGTTATGTGTTTTTATGAACAGAGATGGCCAGGTATCGGGTCCATGACGATGCTAGACCTTTTCAGGTCCGTGCAGGACTATTGTATAGGCTTTATTTCTGGGGTGGTTATTTTAAGGTGTGCAGCTGTGAGCTTGGAGGTTTCGTAAGGAGGATGTGGCTCCAGCGGGTACAGTGAGCTCGCGTCCTTGGAGGAAGCGTGGTTTGGGGTAAACCATTATTCTCTGAGCGTGGCGGTTTGCAGAGTGACTTTCCGGGACCTCGTTGTTGTATTGAATTTTGTAGTGTCTGTTGAATTTGCGCCAAGCTTCCTCTCGAGCACTTACGGGGGAAGCAGATGTGTTTTCCCAACGTGGAGACACATCCATCTAGTACTGTCAGTCTTGATATATACTTAGTTAAGAGCTTCTCCGTGTTACATTTTGTGAGAAGGTATGAGAAAACCTCCACGGCCAGCAAAGTTTGGTAGCTCTGTCTTTTATGCCTAAAGGTTTGAAGTTGTGACTCTAGGAGTTTAATCTGGTTTTCTTCCAAGTGATGCAAGCTGGCCTCTTAAAGCCGTTTTGGGACGCAGGCTCCTGGTTGATGTGTGTCTTTGCGTTTTCGTGGGTTGGGTTCAAGTCACCAGTTTAAATGATGGGTGACGCTGAGACTGACCCGCTGGGACAGGGCACAGTGTTTGGTTGTTGTCACTGGATGCGGTCGATAGCTGATTCTCGTTGCTCACTGCACATCCGCCAGCTGCTTCCCTTGTCCTTGATGGTAGCAGATTCTTGTGGCTTTGGTGAAATGAGCTACTGGCATGTCCTCTCCCTCCCTTCTTTCCTTCCTTCCTTCCTCCTTCCCTTCCTGCCTTCCCTCCTTTCCTCCCTGCCCCCCTTCCCTCCCCCCACTTAATTCTGGTGTCCACTCTGTGATGCTCTGCTCTGTCAGCCTGTCTCCTCAACTTCTGAGCCCAGAGGGCACCTTCCTAACCGCTCTCACTGCTGCCTGGGCTGTGGGCACGCACCTGAAGCAAACCTTTCGGACGTTTACTTCTCGTTGTTTGTTGGTTTCTCTTTCATTTTCCTTTCCTGACTTTCCATTTCAGATGAGTCGAAGACCTAGGGATGAGCAGAAAACCCCAGGTGGGGCCTCAAGATCGTCCTTTCCGATCCGTGTTTATCTACCAAGACGCAGAGTCGAAAGCAGACCTTGTCATTTGTCCTTTTCCTTATTAGTAAAACTGCCACCGTGATGTGTTTCTCCCAGACCAGATGCCATGCCTTGAATCCTATATGTTTTCTCCCTTCACGGTGCACAGAAGCGTATGATATGATATTTTAAGGCCCAGGTAGCTTCAGAATAAGGAAGAGAAATGCAGACATTTCCTTTTAACGTAAAATCCAACAGAAAGAAATGGTACCGGCGGGGGCTTCCATGAACGAACCAGGTTTCTCAGCATCCCCCATCCTTGCCAGTGTATCCTGCAGGGGGTGAGCCGTCCTGTTTTCAGAGTCCTGGGGCAAAGCCGGCCCTGGGTCATAGGGTTTCCTCTCTCACGCTCATGATGGAATTTTTACCCTTCTGATTCCATAGCCCCTGGATTTTTATGGTCCATTTCCATGAAGTATTTCCTAACTCTTGCTCAGATCAGTTTTTGCCAATTATGTGAATTTCCCAGTTCGCAGCGGGTGAAAAAAAAATCCACATATTTAGGCAAAACCTAAAAATCTCACGATCTTAAATTTCTGAGGTCAGCGGAGACGTGAGTGTTGGGATCTTGACACCCTAGAATTCTTGCATCCTTGTATATCCCCGTAAGCATGGAAGTCATCGCTGCATTTTTTTTTTTTTTCTTTTTAACATCAGACCATCTCCTTCTTGTGCTGGCTTCTCGGGCTTCCCTGGTGGCGCAGTGGTTGAGAGTCCGCCTGCCGATGCAGGGGACGCGGGTTCGTGCCCCGGTCCGGGAGGATCCCGCACGCCGCGGAGTGGCTGGGCCCGTGAGCCATGGCCGCTGAGCTTGCGCGTCCAGAGCCTGTGCTCCACAACGGGAGAGGCCACAGCAGTGAGAGGCCCGCGTACCGCAAAAAAAAAAAAAAAGAACCCTGCAACGGAGGCTCTCCGTGCTCCTCCCGTGGGCCTGGTCATCTTCCACCGGTCACCTTGATGGCCTTGACAGTGGTCACCTTGCTGGCCGTCTGGGTCTTTGAAGAAAGCGTCGCAGATTTCTTGGTTCTGATGAAATAAAGCCCGTGTCCCGGTTAGCACAGGGGTGCATTTAAATCGAATCTCTGTGCCCCAAGAATGAAGTCCTGGGTGTGATCTACAGATGAGACCCTGCCGGTCAGTGGTCTCTGGGGTCTACTTTTGGCCCCCAGTGCCTGCTGTGTTTACATAAACAGCCCGCACACAGAGAGACCCCGAAAGCTGCCATTGCTGTAGTTGCCTTCATAGCTCGAGTGGCTCCTGGCTTAAAAGAAAGGCATGTGAGCTGCTTTGGTTTTGAGTTTGAGATGGGGTGTGTTTGGCCTTCTAAGTGTTGAGGTTGCAGCGGGAAGATGCCCCTGGTGGAGCCCGGGTCTCCTCTTAGGGGTCCACGGGCTTGGGTTGGGCGCTTGGCATCGGGGAATCCGGCCCTGCATCCCTGACCACACGGCGCCGGCTAAACGGATCCCAGGGGGCCGATCCCTTTCCCCGCCCACGAAGCACCCACCCACTCTCAGGCTCTCCCCAAATGCTGGGCGTTGGTGACACCAACATCAAAACTGGGTGTGCCGGCATCCCCTCCCCCTCCCCCCAAATGTCTCTTCAGATAATGGATTGAACATGTCTTTTACTTGTTGGAAATAACGTTTGGCCCCACATGGATTTGGGTTTGGCTGTACTTTATTATTTCCCAGGGGCATTTCTTTTTTTCTTTTCCTTGAACATACCTAGATATAGGGTTTCTGCAGACCCATTAGAATATTTTGACTGGGTTTTTTCTTCCTTTGTTTTTCTTTTGGTAGGGAGATTCTTTGTCACGTGAAATTAAAGCACATTTAGGATTTATCGTCATAATAGTTGACTCTACAATGTGAGCGTGTTCAGAGCCTGCCTCCTGCCCGGCCAGCAGAAGACGTGACATTGGCAGTGACCGCCCTGCAGTGTTTTCACAGATCTCTTCAAACTCTCTCCTCTTTGGGTGTTTCTCTTTCTTTTTTTGTCATCTTAGAAGTTTGGTCTCTGACTGGGGTCTCCTTTCGTGGTTGGGGGAAAGGCTGGTGGCTCACAGAATCCATTTCATACAGACGGGGGGATGCGTGTTTCTGGGACCGGGATGAAAAGTGGTGTTGGGCGTTCACGCACGATGCTAACCCCAGATGCTGCGGTTTTGCAAAAATCAAAGCTTCGGGAATATAGGAGAACGGTCGTCAAGGGTCCCGTGAGCTACTTCAGTCCTTTTCACGTCATACGTGCTTCCGTGTCCCTTCCCAAGCATGCAGTAAAGAAATAAACATGTTCTGACTGGGAATCTCTCCTGCGTTTTTGTTTGTTTCTAACTGAAGTGTAGTTGGTTTACAATGTTGTGTTAATTTCTGCTGCACAGCAGTGATTCAGTTATACACATATACGTTCGCTTTCATAATCTTTTCCATGATGGCATATCCCAGGATATCGAATCGAGTTCCCTGTGCTCTACAGTAGGGCCTTGTTGTGGATCCATCCTCAGCATTAGCCGTTTGCATCTGCTCATCCCAATCTCCCACTCCATCCCGCCCTCCACCCTGTCGTCCCGTCCTGTCCCCCGCCCCGCTCGCCCGTGCATTTGGAATTCTGTCGCCTCGCACTGTATGCTGGGAGATCGTTTCTGGGGGCCGGCGGGGCGCGGCATGGCCCTCTTTGCGTTGACGTATGTGTGTTCGAAAACTTTTGGAGTAGAAATTGGGAAATAAAATGATAGATTGAAGAAGCATGGGAGCGAAGAAGCCAGACCCCGCGAGGTGCCCTTCGTGCCTTGATGACCAGGGCGGTCCTCTGCTTGGGGGCAGCGGATGGAGACAGGAGGTGGGAGGCCAGTTCAGCTTGAGAGTGACCATCAGGTTGTCTTGGTATTCACCCTCCTGGGGCGTTTTGTTCTTCTTGCAGCTGACCAAGGCGAGATGAACATGGAGAACCATCAGGGCACCAACGCCGAGCCACCCGGTAAGAAGCGCCCCGAGTGGCCCCCTCCCGCCCCCCCGCGGGTCTGTGTTACCTCCTCTCACCACTGTCCTGCTCAGATTCTTGGATGGGATCCTTTGTGTCTCGAAGTTTTCAAGGGGGTTCTCTGGGGAGATGCCACATAGACTTTCCGGGGCTTGAGGCTTCCGATGAGACCTAAGTCCGCTTCAAGTTCTCTTTAAATGTCGGCCAGGAGAGTTTTCCAAGTGTCGCCCCACTGCCGCATGGCCGGAGTCAGCAGCTGGCCGGATTGCATCTTCTGAGATGCACCCTTTGCAGCATTTTCACGTGCTGCGGTCACATTTACAGAATCCTCCCAACCTGGTGGAGAATTGGACCAAGAACAGGAGGTGGTGCAAATTATGGAAACTTCTCAGGGCCAGAGGCGGGACGTTCAGTGATTAGAACCACTTCTGAAAACGGCAGGAAAACACAAATTATGTGTCTATACACCTGTGTGTGTTTCTTTCTTTTGTTGGTGTATATATGTGGAGACCCACTCCTTTGCCCAAGAAAGGCAACATTTATTGCATAGGATGCCTGTGGAATTGACATAAGTTTGGGGTTTTTTTTTTAAACGTTTTTGGCCACACCCCACGGCATGCGGGATCTTAGTTCCCCAACCAGGGATTTGAACCCATGCCTTCTGCGTTATAAGGCAGAGTCTTAACCACTGGACCACCGGGGAAGTCCCGAGATAAGTTTTTAGTGAAAAGTTAACATAGTTTTAATTCTAAAAATACGGACGTTTAGAAAGTGTCTAGCTCGTTGCTCTTTCAAATAAGGGAAGGATGTGTAACATGAGCTATCCTTTTTTAAGGACAAGAAAATGCGAAAGAGACCTCCAAAACAGAAATGAACTGATCCGAAAATCTTAGCCCTGCATTGTTGTCAATGAACCAACGCCGTGGCCCCTCATTTACAGAATTATTTATTCTGAAATTTGTAGTTTACAGACATTTCTTACCGTCTCAGAGAAGTCGCGAGTAGAGAATGCCTCTTCTTAGTTTCTTTCTACTTTTCCCGAAGTGTCCGTTTTTTACGAGTGACCGTTGCATCGTAGTATGAAATGTACTGAATTGTTTTTTCTAACCCGTTGGATTTAGTTTTTGCTTTCTGTCAGCAGTGAGCTTTGAGCACACTTCTATCTTCTGTAGAAATAGCGTCACCCGCTTCTGGAATTTTCCACCTGCAGGTACTCGCGTGCTTGTCGGGGCCGCTGGGGGTGCCTTGTAAAATCTGTTCTTGTGTCTCGGTCCTCTGCAGTTCAACAGACCCTTCTGGAGAAATAGGAGGTCGGCAGCCAAGTGAGTCATAGCAGGGTCTCGAGCTGGCCTGCTGAGCCTCTCCAAAGATCGCCTGCAGGGACAGAGCGGCCCCGCTGGAAACAAGCCCCGGCTTGTCCGTGCCTTTGCTCAACTTGGGATTCCTGGTTTGAATCTTGAGGTGCGTCACCACCGTGCTGGGTGGGTGAGATTGACTTGGGATGAGTTTTGCCTCCAGAGGGCAATTACACTCACCTTCTCCACGGCCCTGAGGGGTTTCCCGTGTGCTGTGAAAGGCTGACCGACCAAGTCCCCGTCATTCAACCCCACTGAAGTTCCCCAACCAGAAACGCCGCGCTGTTTACCAATTGCCTGTAAATTGAATGCGTCTGAACCTCTGCCGACATTGACCTTTTTATAGAGTGAGGTAAGCCTTCGGCTAGTTTCCTCAAAAGTTCTTCCATTTACTAGGATTTTTTTTTTTCCCACACCAAACTAATAAAAAGAAATTAGAAACCAAGTACTTTTTACTTAATGTTTTGCCATGGGGTGACTTTTAAAAAAGGTTGTGAAACTAGTGGGATGGATCCCCTGTTCCCTTCTCTGGGGCTGTAAGACAGACGATCGCGGTAAGTGCTCGCTCTTTATAACATCTTGCAATGAACGGAATGCCTGCTCTTCTCCCGGTAACACACGATGACTTCTCCACCTTTAGAAGCATTTCCCCCGTTTAGGACCGCGCACGCACTGCACAGCGCCCAGAATGCTTGCTTTTATACAGAAGGGCTTTGCGTGGACTTTTGTGTTCATCTCGGGAAGTGCAGAAGCCCTGGTGTTGCAGACGGGCTGGACCCCACCCGTAGACTACCCTCCGCGGAAATATTAGTTTCCAGTGGCACAGGCTTGCCTCGTCTAAAGCTCTTAGGATAGTAACCCAGAGCAGTGGCGGTTTCCTGGGAAGACTTCCTCTTGTCACGGATGACGGTGTAAAGAACTGTTGTGTGTTTCACATCAGCCTCTCCAGGTTCAAAGGTATGACGTTAAGCACACCTGCGTGGGCTGCCTCCACAAATCACCTAACTTGGGAGAGGGCTGCTATGACGTATCAGTCATGAATGCTGGGTCTTTCTCCCTTCTGAAGCTCAGAAACTCTGCCAGTAGTTTGAGGGGTAGGCATCTGCGCCACCCCCTGCTGTTGAGGACTCAACCCCTCTCCACGCCCGTATCCTTTCTGTGACCTCTCCTCCCTGCGTTATCCAAAAGCGTTTGGAGTTTCTTTCTCGAGGTATTGCTGGAGACCGTCGTCTGGCTCTTTAACTTGTTCTGTTTTTGACACTATAATAACTTTAGAGTATATGAAATGGTGTAAAAAAAAAAAAAAAGGATTGGTATTTATCCTATCCATTCATTGCTGCGTTCAACAAATACCTATGACCTGGTGTGCACAGTGGTGAACATGACATTCAGGATTCTCCAGGATGGAACACAAATAAATGACATCCATCCGTGGATGGGGTCGGCCAGTCGTCAAGAGCTGAGGGCCAGGTTGGTCAATATGCTTGGGTTCCCTCGCTAACTGGCTCAGAGCACCTGGGTACAAAGGTGGAGAGCGTCCATGTTCTCCCCAGTGAGTCATCACGGGTTGCCTTTGAGGTCAAGATTGTGCACGCTGACTTGCTTCATAATAAGAAAAAACGCATACAGTCTTTTTGTAACTCTGAATAACATTGGCATTTTTATAAGCATTGCAATCATACTATAAGCATAAATGCCTCATTAAAGAAGAGAAGAGTGAAAGGATGGGTATTTCTTTAAGGATATGAAATTATGACTGATTCATAAATAAGTATACATTTAAGAAATATGTCAACTAGGCTTTTCTTATGGATGGTGGATGTACATTGTTGTAGACTCAGTTTAATTTCATGTTCACATTAAAATAAACATGATTTTATCAAAGATCTGTCTTTTGAAAAATTGAATTTAAATTATGTGGCCTGGATCATTAAATACTTGGCATAACGATTGCTTTTTAAAATCATTTTGGAGCTCCCATATGAAGAAATCACAGTCCAACAGATTTTGAAATCAACAGAAAGATTTTATTTAAGGGCCAAAGGGAGACAATACCAGTGGAGGATTTGTTATAAGTCTGGGTCATAATGGGTTTGATTAACCCACTTAAGCTGTGGCCAAGTTTTTGCTGTCAAGATGCTGCAGTGAATATCTCTGTAAGCACATTTTTGTGGCTGTGTGCAAGTGTGTGTGTTGCATTAGTGCCTGAAGTTGGCTTTGTGAGGAAAAAAAGCATGTGTATATTTAATTTTTATGGACACTGCCCAGTCATCCCCCATAGAGGTGCAAATTCATGATACCCCCCAGTGATGTCAGATCTGTTTCCTCTGCCGTGCAAACTTTCTGATTGGTGCCAATCTGTAAGTTGAAAATGATATCAAATCAACTGCGTTTACATTGCATTTCTCTTAACACAAGTGAGATTGAGAATCTGTGTAGGGGGGACCCATTTGCATTCCATTTCTGGGGGAAATGAATGCATTTTGCCTATGTTTTTATGTGTTATCGGCCCTATCCTTATTGATTTGTAGGAACTCTTTACATATTAAAGATATGACTGTGAAGTAAGTAGCAAATACTCTTTTTCACTTTATCCTTCACCTTTTAACTCTGAAGTGATATTTTCCCCCATTCATTTTTATTATTTTTGCACAGTGAAGTTAGTTAATGGTTTCTGGGCTTGCTGTCATACTTCTAACACTTCTCTGGGGTTTTTTTTACATTAAAATATTTGATCCCCTATGAATGCATTTCTGTAAAGAGAATGAGGAAGAGTTTCCTTGGTATTTAGTTTTTTAAAAACCGCCATGGGATAATCCCATTATTCCCAAACCATTTATTGAATAATCCATGTTTTCCCACTGATTTGAAATGCAGTTTACATCATCCACTAAATTTCTGGACCTCCCAGGGCAGGAAGTATTTTTTTATTTTTTTCTGTCCTATGGGATCCTTTACAGAAAAAGGTTGGTAACACCTGCTTGAATACATAAAATACCCGTACTTCAAACTGCGTCTTGCAGGGGTCAGATGTGGTGGAGCAGGTAGTGGCCAGTTATAATATGAAAAAACAGCTATAATAAAAACAGTAGAGTTTTAATTATTTTGCTGCCATAACAAAATACCACAAACTGGGCGGTTTAAAGAAGAGATGTATTCTCTCCGAGTCCTGGAGGCTGGAATCTGAGATCCAGGTGTGGGCAGGGCTGGTCCCTCCTGAGGCCTCTCCTCTGGGCATGTAGACGGCTGTCTCCTCCCTGTGTCCTCACTCGGTGGAGAGTTGTCTGGTGTCTCTTCTTACAAGGATGCTAATCCCATCATGGGGGCCCCACCCTTATGGCCTTATCTAACCCTAATCACTCCCCAAAGACACCACCCTCTAACACCATCCCATTGGGGTTTATGGCTTCCACAGATGACATGTTGGAGGGACACAAGCATTTGGTCCACACCACTGGGCGATGTGCTCAGCACCCCCTAGAGGTGGTCCCACAGAAGCCCTGGGTCCCCCCTTTCTACCATGTGCCTTTCCCCCATCCCTTCCTCAGCCTCCACTCTCCATCCCTCCCCTCCCCTTCCTACCCAGCCTTTAAATTCAGTGTGAGGTAGGACTTCCCTGGCTGTCCAGTGGTTAGGGCAGGAGGCGCAGGTTCAATCCCTGGTCTGGGAACTAAGATCCTGTATGCTGGTATAAAATAAAAGAAGAGAAGAGAAAATCAAATCAGTGTGAGGCTACAACCCTCCCCAGAAGCCTCTAGGACACAAGCTGGGTGCAGAACCTCCCAGGAGCCCCCCAGCCTTGGTGTGCTCCCCCATATTACCAAACATTACACTGCAACCCTCTCCTCCTCTTTGTAAACAACTCTTCTTTCTCTGTCTCCACACAGCCGGCATCTAGCCTGCCTCTCTGGCTCAAAACAGCTGTGCGTCAAATGTTTGTTGAATGAATGCACGAGCTCATCTGATGTCCCACACTGTGGAGCTGGAAACTCTGGAATTTATAAATCTGGTGCTTCCACAGCTGCATAGCACAGGGACATCAGCTTGGGGCTTTGTGACCACCTAGAGGGGTGGGATAGGGAGGGTGGGAGGGAGATGCAAGAGGGAGGAGATATGAGGATATACGTATATGTATAGCTGATTCACTCTGTTACACAGCAAAAACTAACACCATTGTAAAGCAATTATACTCCAGTAAAGATGTAAAAAAATTAAAAAATAAAAGAACCTACTGTATAGCACAGGGAACTCTACTCAATACTCTGTAATGGTCTATATGGGAAAGGAATCTTAAAAAAAAAAGAGTGGATCTATGTATATGTATAACAGATTCACTTTGCTGTACACCTGAAACTAACACAACATTGTAAGTCTACTATACTCCAATAAAAGTTTAAAAAATAAAATAACTCTGGTGCTTCCAACCAGTTCTTTTTTTCTTTTTTGAAATTTTACTGAAGTATCATTGATTTACAATGTTGTGTTTAATTTCTGCTGTACAGGAAAGTGACTCGGTTATACATGTATACATTCTTTTTCATATTCTTTTCTGTGACAGTGTATCACAGGGTATTGACTATAGTTCCGTGTACTGTACAGTAGGACCTTGTTGAACCATTCTATATATAATAGTTTGCATCAGATCGTACTGTAATATATATACCGAGATGTATGTAAAATTTATACATTTATATATAAATAATATATATATCGCATATAATATAATTTCTATCTGAAAGGTGTAACTCAGGTGTATGCAACTGGAAATAAAATGCTTCCCTCCACACAGAGGGGTTATTTTCTAGAAGCCTCTATCCAACCACTTCTTACACAGCTCAGGTGGAAAACGCGGAGAGAGGGCCAGGTGAAATTTGCTTCTCTGGCCCCAGCATCCCCAGCCAGACTGACTGTCCCGGCCACCTACAAAGAAACTGAGGTTCACGGATGCAGCGCGACTCTAAAGGTACAGGGTCTTCAAGTCGTAGAAGCAGAGATTAAACGTGAGTCTATACTCTGATCGTTGCCTTGGCGCTCTGCTGGGTCTGGCGTTGGCGTCGCCCTGCAGGAGGGTTCAGGGGAAGGACCCCAGGCAGGGAGTGTCCTGCCTGCACCCAGGGTTGGCGCCTTTGATGCTGGTGCATCTCCCATGCCCGCGGGAAGCAGACCCAGGACACCCATTGGTGCGGGGCAGCCACCTGTTTCCCCAGCATCCTGAGGCTGGTTGGCAGCGTAGCGCAGGGAGGCGGGCTCCCCGGGACGCCCTTCAGCATATACGGGCACACGCCTCGCGGGCTCCGAGCCGTGCCATTTGGGACGGAACGCCCAGCCCTTCGGCTTCTGGCAGAGGTACTCCAGTTTGGTTCATCCTTTCTGCTTGGAGACATTGCCTGTTTCCCTTGCAAACTGGGAAGCAGAAGCCAGCACATCCGTCCAGCGAGGGTGGGGTGGCCGGATCGCCCAGCGCGCCCTGAAGGTTCACCTGAACGGAAACCGAGGATGGAGCCCTGGTGGGGCCTCTTCTGCCTCACGTTCCTGTGTTCTGTGATGCACGTCCGAGGTAAGGGAGGGTTTGCTCTGGGGAGAGCCGCGTGGGTGTGCATTTCTATCTGGCTGCTTTAAAAAAAAAAAAAAAAAAAAAACTCCGCCCCAAACCACTTCCACTCAGGAAATGGCTCGAAGGTGCCAGATAGTAGAAAAACAAAAAAACAGACCAAGTATGATGGCTTTGAGGGGAGCAAAAGGGGCCGGGTTCCAATTCGGGGTCTGGGAATTGGATCCAGAAGTGTAGGGTGCGGACTCAGTACTTAGACGCCAACTGTTTTTGTGGTCTGCTTTTGATCTCTGTGTGTCACACACGGAAAAAAATGAGCCGTGTTCCTGGGGCGTGTTGGGATTTTTCAATTCCTTGTTTTCGATTTAAAATAATCAGGGCTGCGTTTCTGGATGGGGACAATGGAGCTGAGACCCAGCTTGGTTCTGTGGGACTGATCACCCAAGATTGGGTTTGCTGGAAGGGCAACCTCCGTTCAGGTTTTTAGACATTTCTCACCAATGTCACCCCTCCTGTTGGCAAATGAAAAGCATCTGAATTGTTGACGCCCCAAACTTCAATACAGGTTCTTCTGGTGATGCCAGGATTTTGGTTTGTCGGGGAGCAGAGGTGGGGAGGGACCTAGTTTGGGAACTATAATTTACCCGTGACGTGTAGGATTTAACCGCAATTGGATAAGCTCCTTTGGTCCTCATTTGAATTTTAGGAGGTGGAGGCCCAGGCAGGATTTAAGAGTGAGAAGTGTTGTAGGTTAGGAATTGAAAGGATTTCATTGGGATGGCAGTCTTGTGACATTTCCTGTTTATCCTGTTTGAGGATGGTTGTTGAGGGGCAGATGTGGTTTTGTGAGACATCCTGGCACCCAGAGCCCAGGATCTTCCCCGAGACCCTTCCAGGAATCCTTGCTGTCTGCACAACGTGCCCCCCGGCACGTGGGTCACGCAGAAACGCAGTCCAGGCGCTTCTGTTTGCAGGGAGACGTTAGTCCCTGAACTGACACCAGGGCTGAGAAGAGCAAGAGAGCAGAGCTCTGATTCTACACAGACCCGCCCAGAAACCGAGACAGCAAAACCTGTCTGAGCGTTTATTCCTGCTGCTGTGCACACGGTAGGAACTGTGGGTTCACCTGCGGGCTCAGGCAGCTCCGCCTCCTCCCAGGCACAGTCGGGTTGCTCCTTTGGGGATAATGGGATGTCAGATTCCTTCAGCGCATCACGTATGTGCTGGGGAAACGTATTGTGGATTTAACCGCTGTTCTTCAGAAGAGAAAACAATGCAGGAGGCGGCCCTGGCTGACGTTAGCTGAGTGCTCCCGAGGATGCCCAGGTTACGTTCTTTTGATGAGGGCGTGACTTGCGACGGGCTCTGCGGGTGTTAATCGAGTTCATTCTCACACAGCCTTGGGCGGGGGCTGCCAGGCGTGGTGCACTTTTTCTGTCTCTCTTTCTTTTTAAATATGTTTCCTGTTTTGATCGAACACGGAACTTTTTTTTTCTTTTTGAAGATGATATTATTTTATTTTATTTTTGGCCATGCCGCACAGCATGTGGGATCTTAGTTCCCTGACCAGGGATTGAACCCGTGTCCCCTGCATCCCTGCATTGGAAGCGCAGAGTCTTAACCACTGGACTGCCAGGGGAGTCCCTTGATGCCCTTTTTTTTGGATGCCCTCTTATAGATGGGTACACGGAGGCACAGAGGTGTTCCATCATTTGTCTGAGGTCCCATTGCTGGGAACATGCACAGGCAGGAGAGGTGCGAGGAGGGACGGGAAAGGTAGTGAGGTCTGGATCAGGGTGCGTCGGTGTGAAGATGTTGTGCAGCTGGCCCGAGTCCTGGGTAGTTTGTTAAATGCATGGACCACCCCCTCACACCCCAAACCACCAGCAGCTGTCGGCGTGAGCGAGTTCACGAGGTCCCCAAACACTTCCTGCAAGGCTGTCAAGCTGCTTGTTACCAAGGCTCCGGAAGAGCAGACTATCGCTATGGTGAACGTCACTTAACGGTTCTTATAATGACTAAACTGTGTGTATAACATAAAATGAGAATTTGATTACAGTCCGAGGCATAGGGGTTTACAATGCGGCGGTGTCAGATTTCCAGTGTATGGAATTACCTTTCGCTATCAAACCTGGATGCACTTGAAGGACCGTGAGACCAAGACAGGTCTTCGAAAAGCTGATAGAAGCAGAAAATGGAAACGCCAGGGGCTGCTTGTCGTGTTTGGTTGGTTGAGAAAAAAAGCTGTCTATCTACCTTTCTATCTACCTACCTACCTATCTACCTACCTATCTAGCTTCTGTCTATGTATCTATCTATCAACTATCTAATATCTATCAACTATCTACCTACCTACCTACCTACCTACCTATCATCTACCTATCAACTATCTAACATCTATCAACTATCTAACTACCTATCTATCATCTAGCTAGCTAGCTATAATACAGGTATAACTCTAGATTTTGTATATATATATATACATATATATATATTTTCTTATATTCCCTTTTTTCCTGTATATCTATTGTATCCTGGGTATACATTACCATTTTCCTGTATCTATATTATACAGTGGCTCTGAAATCCCCTTCTACATGTATTGTATCTTCTTCTCCTATCAGACAAGACTAAACATCTGTGTGTGCTTAGACAGAGCTCCTTTTCTACCTACAGACTAAAAAAGTACCGGTATCCCCTGGTATTTGAGGGGGATTAGTTCCAGGACCCCCTGGGACACCAAAATCCATGGATACTCAAGTCGCTTATATAAAATAATGTCATATTTGCATATAACCCATGCACTTCCTCCCGTAGACTTTATTATTTTTAATTTTTATAAATTTATTTTATTTATTTAGTTTTGGCTGCGTTGGGTCTTCGTTGCTGCGTGCGGGCTTTTCCCTAGTTGAGGCGAGTGGGGGCTGCTCTTCATTGCGGTGCACGGGCTTCTCATTGCGGTGGCTTCTCTTCCTGCAGAGCACGGGCTGTAGGCGCGCAGGCTTCAGTAGTTGTGGCTCGAGGGCCCTAGAGCACAGGCTCCGTCATCTGCGGCACGCGGGCTCTAGTTGAGGCGTGCGGGCTCGGTAGTTGCAGCGCGTGGGCTTAGCTGCCTCGCGGCACCGGGATCTTAGCTGCCAGGCCAGGGATCGAACCTGCGTCCCCTGCATTGGAAGGCGGATTCTTTACCACTGGACCACCAGGGAAGTCCCCTGAAGTATATAGTATTTTTAAAGACAATGGAGCCAGAGTCAAAAGGGGCACCTTAAATTTGCCTGAAGGAAGTCGGGCTTTGTTCCCTGGGAGTCCTGCTTCAGCTGGGTGAAATCCCTCAAGGACAAGAACGTCCTACCCATGTATGGCGTGCAAAGTGGCTTAACCTGTGACCGCTGGTTCCGGAAGGACTGGCTTCAATTAACCCACGCTTCAAATGAAGCCTGTAAATTCCTATGTAAAGGAATGGAAAGCAATTGTCTTGAAGGGCAGCCGTTCGTGACACTGGCCGGAATAATAAAATCTAAGATCCTGCCTGCCTGTGAGGGGTGGGATTCTTGTCCCCTGATGGACCCACTCAAAGGTAATTAAATTCAGCACCTATAAATGCTGCTGCTAACGGCTGTAATTGGTGACAGGGCTTTAGATAGTAATCAGTTTTCCCCCCTCTTCTCAGAGCTAGCCTGGGACTGGTTTTCTCCTTCAGAGGGACTAATTCAGGGGTTAGTGAGTGGGAACTGGGACACGTGCCTCTATCGTGGTCGCCGTGGAGGCGTGGTGGGTTTTTTCTAGTGCATGGTGTCCTCCTCAGCGCCGTGTCATGATTATTCCAACAGCTCTGCCCTTTGCAAAAATTCCCTTTGTCCTGTAGGCTTGTGGGTCTGAGAAGTTCAGGGAAGCAAACTCTGATACAAAGCATCTTAGAATCTTGCTGGGGTAGAATTTGACTGGGGAGGGAGGGGATGGGTTACTAGAGATAACGAGAGAATTCCTCCAAGTGCCACTCAGGTGGTTTCGTCTCAAAATCCCTCCTAAATAGCTTTGTTTTTGGAGGGTAGGGGTTCTTGGGTATGGTGCTAAGACCTCCCGCCCAGCAGCATGAGTCCTTTTCAACGCCCATCTCCAGGACGTCAGCAATGGGTGACCAGCCTTATGATCGCAGACCCCACGCGGCTCCTTTCCCCTCGGTGTTTACAGAGCCCAGAACATGTGGGATCGATTAGCAACGGCTGAGCCAGCTAAACTAAGCAGATCAGAAACACGTCTTATGTTCCCGGCCCCGTCTTAGGCTCCGATTGAAAAAAAAAAAAAAGCTAGTGGAAGTAGTTGCCCTGAGGAGCTGCATCCCCCTGCCCCCCAGCTCCACCGAGGTTGAACCTCTGAATCAGCAGCGTCCACCTGAGTGATGTCCCTGGCAGGGCTGCACCCGGTGGGGCTACGATGTGAAGCACGTGGGGAGGGTCTGGGCTGCAGCCCCTCTGGGGCTAAACCTCTGGCCTGCGGGACTGGATCGTCGCCAAGTCCAGGGTAGGGGAGCGCCTCATACTGGGTACGGTCCGCCGGCTCTGTGCATGAGTCATGCCCACGGGCCTCCCAGCAGCACCACAGCTAGGGACAGCTTCCTCCACGACCTCCCCTCGTCAGAAGCATCTCCAAACGGAAGGAGGCTGCTGGAAAGAGAAGGGGACACAGAATGGGGTTAGGGCAGGGCGGAGGGACTTGGCTGTTCTCAGAGCCCCAGACGGCGCTCCCTGGCTTCCGGCCGTGAGAAGGCCAGCCGGCAAGGCTACCACATCCCCAGAGACGACCCAAGGCCCTTTTGGAAAACAGCTCCCGCCCAGCCCCGTTGGCTGTGCGATGGATTCGGGAGAGGCCGGGAGGAGACAGATAACAGAGGCTTTGATCATCTCAGAACAGGCAGTGGCCTGACGCTCAGGTTGGAGGACACTGTGTAGGTGCATCTTCACGGGACGCCTGGAACTCCTGGGAAGAGTCCGGTGAGAGTTATCTGTAAACTGCCAACTGGCGATTAGAATGCAAACTCCGGAGCTGCCCTTGTAGCTGAGGGGCATGGCAGGGTGGGGGGCGCCCTGCACCGGTATCTGTCCTTTCAAACTGGAGGGAGGGTCAGCCACACCCCCACTGGCAGCCCTGGAAGGGATGTGTCTTCAGAGTCCCCAAGGCTGACGCTGATTCCTGTCACCCAGCCCCTGCACAATGACCCAGAGCAGAGAGTGGCCAGCTTGTCCCCAGAAGAGGACCTGGCAGAAGCTGGAGGGACACAGACCCTGGCCAAAGAGAGGGGCGCTGAGGACAGATGCGGGACCTCCCTGTGTTAGAGACGGCTCTCCGGGGTTTCGCCTGTAAACGCACTGAGCCCCGGCCTCCAGTCCGGACCGTGAGGCTGCCGGCGGATGCCCTCTGACCTCAGCTCCTCTGCCGTCCAGTTTCAATTATATTGAATTGTATAATCTATGGATGCTGTCTCAACAGAGCTCTTTTCAAAAGCTCTTTTTTATCAGCCAAAGATGAGATACAAGTTGGTCAGCTCAGAGGTTTTCTGATTGGGCTCCTCTAGTTTTAGAGGCGGCGAAGGTGATGGGTGGGATGTGTGTGGGAAGAAGCCCTTAAACTGGCAGGAAAGGAACACTCAGCTCGTTAAAAAGGTTTTGTGTGTTTTTTTGAGATAAAATTCACATGCATCAGAGTCACCCTGTGAACGCTTTGAAAGTGAATAGTGCAGACATTTTTGTTTAGCATGTTCACAATGTTGTGCGACCATCACCACCATGGAATGCCAGAATGTTCTTATCACCCCCATAAGGAACCCCATACCTGTGAGCAGTCGGTGCCAGTCCCCCCGACTCACTGTTATCCACCCAAGTTTCTCCGAGTTGAGCTTGTAAGAAAACTGAAATCCAGCCTCCGCTTCTCTCCAGACCCTAGACTTCTTCATAGTATTTTTAGCAAGTCTGAAACTCGCACGCCAACAAAATATCTGGGCCCCTGAACACTGGGAGGGAGCCGGGGTTGAAATGTTTGGGAAATGCTTGCGGGGGTGTCACGGAGAGGCGAGGGCAGCGCGATTCTGGGCCTCAGTCCAAGATGCATTCTGTCTTAGCCATAAAGGAAGATATCCACAGTTCCAGCCACGGAGCCGCCACCGTACCGCATTTCCCAAAGGCATCCCCTGAGGTGTAAACTGGGGTCAGAGTGTCTCCCGGTGCGTAAACCACTATCTTCCACACGGCTCACATGTCACCTCCTCCAGGCAGACCTCCAGGTCGGCTCACACAAGACGTGCAATTGCCCCCGCTGCCTTGTGGTCCCCGCTACACCCTGTCCCCACCTTTAGGGATATTCACGGGTCTCTCTCCCCTAGAGAACCAGGAAGCAGGGCTAGTGTCATGGAAGGTCCCGTCCCCATTGGGTGACAGTGTGCCTCGATCAGAGTCGCAGTTCGTAGATGTTTGCAGGATGCACGGGTGCTTTGGCTTTCCAAGACGTCTATGTGCTTTGCTCGAGGCAGCTGAGATCCCAGGAGCATCTCCCTCCTGTTTAAGATGGGGATACCAGGAACTTCCCTGGTGGTGCAGTGGTTAAGAATCCGCCTGCCAATGCAGGGAACACGGGTTCGAGCCCTGGTCCGGGAAGATTCCACATGCCGCGGAGCAACGAAGCCCGTGCGCCACAACTACTGAGCCTGCGCTCCAGAGCCCGCGAGCCACAACTACTGAGCCCACGTGCCACAACTACTGAGCCCGCGTGCCTAGAGCCCATGCTCCGCAACAAGAGAAGCCACTGCAATGAGAAGCCCACGCACCGCAGCAAAGAGTAGCCCCCGCTCGCTGCAGCTAGAGAAAAGTCCTCACGCAACAACAAAGACCCGGCACAGCCAAAAAAATAATTAAAAAAAAACTTTTTTTTCCTTTTTTTTTTTGCGGTACGCGGGCTTCTCACTGCTGTGGCCTCTCCCGTTGCAGAGCACAGGCTCTGGACACGCAGGCCCAGCAGCCATGGCTCACGGGCCCAGCCGCTCCGCGGCATGTGGGATCCTCCCGGACCGGGGCACGAACCCGTGTCCCCTGCATCGGCAGGCGGACTCTCAACCACTGCGCCACCAGGGAAGCCCCTAAAAATATTTTTAATTAAAAAAAAAAGATAGGGATGCCACTGGCAGCAACATGGATGGATCTAGAAATGATCATACTAAGTGAAATAAGTCAGACAGAGAAAGACAAATACCATACGGTATCACTTATACGTGGAATGTAAAAAATAATACAAATGAACTTATTTACACAACAGAAACAGAGTCACAGACATAGCAAACAAACCTATGGTTACCCAAGGGGAAAGCGGTGGGGGGGGAAGAATAAATTAGGAGTTTGGAATTAGCAGATGTCAACTATTGTATATAAAATAGATAATTAGCAAGGACCTACTGTACAGCACAGGGAACTGCATTCAATATCTTGTAATAACCTATAAGGGAAAAGAAACTGAAAAAATATATATATGTATAACTGAATCACTTTCGCGTACAGCGGAAACTAACACTATATTGTAGCTTAACTATACTTCAATAAAAAAAAAAAAAGGACGGGGGTGCCGTCATCTTCCTTCGGAGGCGTCTTTGGTGAGGGGCCCAGCCTGCCAGGGGAGCCAAGATGTCGGCTTGACAAGCACACCACAGGGGACGTGGAGAGAGGGGGGGGGGACTTTGGTCTTCCGCTGACCTCAGCGGAAGGCTTGACCTTTGCACCAGGGGGGATGTCTGGGCAGGTGGGGCCAAGGGGGTGGAGACAGGTGTCAGGGGGCCCCGACGGTCCCGTCGCGGTGTGACCTAGCGCCCTGTCTCCCCACAGGTCAAGGTGACTTTGATTTGGCCGACGCTCTCGATGACCCCGGTAAGTGCCCGTCTTCTCTAGGAGATGCTGTGCTTCGCAGCCTCTGTCAGCTCTGTGGTGCCTCGGGGCTGGGGGTGGCGGGGATTCCGAATTCCAGGCAGTGAGAGCTCTGTTTTTCACCTAAGACACAAGCCCCAGGAGATGGACCTTCACATCCGGCCTTAGCTGTGGGGCTCGGTCTTATGTCTTGGTAGGTCTGGGCTCCCCAAGCCAGCGGTCCGCGCATACCCTGGAGGGTTTTCCTTCTCTTAAATGTGGTTCACCTCTATTCGCGGGGCATCTACGACTTGGAAGACCCCCCCCTACACCCCACCTGTGTGTGGCCACTACCCTTGAGGTCAGCTGGACCTTCTTGCCAGCAGAAAGGCTGACTGTACATCTCCTGGGCCCGGGAGGAAGGTCTGGATTAAGGCCCACAGCCAAGCTGGGTGGCAGGAGCGTTCAGACCTGGGGGCTTGGGGAGGAAGGAAAGGTTGTGACCTGCAGGCACAGTGGGAAGAAACATCAGTGCTTGTCTACTCAGAAAAATCAGCTTCTCCTGTCATCAGGAGAACCCCCGGTCACTCATCACACATCAATTACGGTGGATTTTCCGAGAAGTAAAGAAGGGACGTGATCACCAGACCCACTCAACTTAAAAAAGGATGACAACCAGGGCTTCCCTGGTGGCGCAGTGGTTGAGAGTCCGCCTGCCGATGCAGGGGACGCGGGTTCGTGCCTCGGTCCGGGAGGGTCCCACATGCCATGGAGCGGCTGGGCCCGTGAGCCATGGTCGCTGAGCCTGCGCGTCTGGAGCCTGTGCTCCGCAACGGGAGAGGCCACAGCAGTGAGAGGCCCGCGTACCGCAAAAAACAAAAAACAAAAAAATGTTCACGCAGGGCTTCCCCGGTGGCGCAGTGGTTGGGAGTCCGCCTGCCGATGCAGGGGACACGGCTTCGTGCCCCGGTCCGGGAGGATCCCACATGCCGCGGAGCGGCTGGGCCCGTGAGCCATGGCCGCTGAGCCTGCGCGTCCGGAGCCTGTGCTCCGCAACGGGAGAGGCCACAGCAGTGAGAGGCCCGCGTACCACAAAAAAAAAAAAGAAGCTTGAGAACCAGGGGACAGGGTGGCCTCCAATAGCAGCCTGTCACCACTTCTCCACTTACGAGCCGGGGAGTGACACTCAGCACTTCTGTACTCTCAAAGGAGCTGCTTTTAAAATGAAAACACACCTTAGGAATCATAGAATTTTAACAATATTTCTTCTGTAGAGAATGACATTTTGAAAGATATTCATTATCTAAGTTTTTACATTTCTGATATGTTGGAATTTTTACTACATATTATTTTGTAATCCGAAAACTTGCAGACATGTAAGAAATAGAAAGAACAAAATAATGGAGGCAAGACCTGCTCCCTCCGCAGTTTTCCCCACTGACTGAGGCTTTTGCTAGTGGTAACCGTGACAGAGCAGATATGAGATTATTGTCAGAGCACCAGACAAGTGTAGTGATGCAGGTCAAAGCTGACACGCTGCTTCCCCCGTCTGACTGCAATGGTGAAGGGCTCAGTCCTTCCCAGAGTGGACGGGCTGTGAGGTCAGGGTTATAGGAGGGCCAGTGCTTGCAGCCACACTGCGGGGCATTGGGAGGTACCGCCCCACATTCAGCCTGGGTGGTTGGCACAGGGTCTGGGATGGATAAAGAAGGAGCACGCCCAGGGTAGGGCACACACGCAGCTGAGGGCTGTGGTGCAGAATCATCAGAGGCGTTTTATCAATTAAAAAACGTCATCAACCTGTGAACTGGCAATTCCCCTCCTAGGAAGAAAGGGAAGGATTGAAAGGAGAGACTCAGAGGCATATGTGTTTACAGCGGCGTAACTCATCATCGCCAAAAGGCAGAAGCCACCCAAATGTCCATGGACGGATGGATGGAGAAACAGCCTGGGGTCCAGGCATACAGTGGAATGTGACTCAGCGATGAGAAGGCGTGAAGCTCTGACCCAGGCTACCACGTGGATGGCCCTTGAACCCACGATGCTCAGTGAGAGAGGGCTTTCTGCAGAGAGGAAGGACCCTGTCCACTGTGCACCCGGCAGTTCCAACCTCCCTCACCCTCGTCAGGGGCCACCCCTCGGAGCACCATCCCCCAACCTCTTCCTCCTGCCCCTGTCTGCCCACCCACACTGCACCCCCCAGACTCACTGAGCCTGGCAGACAGGTACGCTGCAGCTGATGCCCCGTCCATGAGTGCTGACCTCAGGGAACCGAAACCACCTGGGAAGCGGTGGCCCACCGCGTTTACACACCCCCGGCAACAACAGGCACTCCGCAAACTTTTGTCACGTGAAGAAACACGTGCAAGAAAGTGAGAGAAGCATCATCCTGGAATCGGGGGAAGCTTCTCTCCAGATCTGCCTTCAGCCGCCCTACCCCTGCTCTGCAGGCACGTTTGTGGGGCACCAGCTCTGCGCCCCCTGCCCTGGATGCTCTTTGCTCAGTCGGTCCTCCTGCTGGCGTCCCAAATCTCGCTACCTCACCTCCTGCAAGGCTCGGATGAAACTTACTTCCTAAGGAGCTTAGCCGACCACCCCAGGAAAGCTTTGCTCCCCCAGCGGGACCTCTGCATAGCTCCCGTGGAGACTGGTGGGCATGGGTTTTAAAGATGCTTTTGTTCTCCCCCCCCCCCCCCCCAATACAGAGTGGAATTTGTGTTCATATCATGTCTGTGTTAGCGCCTTGAAATTCTCATTGCTTATTAGCGCATTAACGATTCTTTCTTGGAGCTGCACGTAAATCCTCAATGCGTACTGAATGTATGTCCTCTTTCTCCGCAGAGCCCACCAAGAAGCCGAGCTCAGGTGAGGGACTCCCTGGCTGCACAGAAATGAGGCTGCGCCCCTGAGATGAGGTTTTTGAAGGTGTTTCTAGGGACGTGGAGTGTGTGAAAGAGGGGCAGGTGTTTATAGCAAAGCCTAGTCCTTGGGGAACTGGAAATCAAAATCACAGTGAGACGCCATTCCTAGTAGGACTGCTAGAATCAAAATATGGGCGATACCAAGTGTCGCTGAGGGTGTGGAGACATTGGAGCCTTCGTGCATTGCTGGTGGGGATAGACAATGGTGCAGCCTCAGCGGAAAACAGTCTGGCAGCTGCTCAGAAAGCTACGTATAGAATTTCCCTATGACGCAACAGTTCTACTCCTGGGTATAGACCCAAATGAACTGAAAACAAGGATTTCAACAGAAACACGCACACTTAGGTTGATCGTGTATAATTCCTACGTTAGTCCAGGAGAGAAAAATTAAGAATAAAGTTGATGAAAAGAAGGATAAAGTTGATTGAATGAAGAATAAACTTGATTAACTAAATAGAGAAAAATGAAGAATCAGCTTGATTAAATGAAGAATAAAATAAACTTGATTGAATGAAGAATAAAGCAAACTTGATTAACTAAGTAGAGGTCCAGAAATTTGAAAAAAGAAAAGAAAGGAAAAAAAATAAAATAGTAGGAATAACGTAACGTTAATTACTGTAGATGTAAAATGATTTAATGACTGTTAAAAGACAGGGCTTAAAGCACTTTTAAGTCGGTTATATGCTATTAAACAAAGTGAAAGTAAATGTTTGCGTGAAGAGTTGGAGGCAGATACCGGAGGGAAGTGGCATCACGTAGCAAATGTCGCACAAAATAATCTTCAAGGCATGAACAGTTTTTTGGGTTTTTTGGTTGGTTTTTTTTTTGCATACAATGTAAAGGCTAAACAGTTCCTTCTGTAACTGTGTGTACGCAGTCTTTTCTTTAAGTTCTACGTTCCGAGGTTTTCCTTCTAGCGGCTAAGTGATTTTTAGCGGCTCGATGGTGATCTGTGAGCAGCAACTGTGACTCAAATACAAGATCTAGTTCTTATTTTATAGGCTGCTACTGACGGAAGGACATTCTTCTCTTCTAAACATGCAGTGTTGTCTTCCCCACAGATACCTACCCAAAGCCGACGCCTCCCCACCAGCCACAGCCCGGAAATCCCGACAACAGTGGAAGTAAGAAAGTTCATTCATTTCAAAGCAAGTTTGATGAAAGGTGCCTCTTTTTTTTTTTTCCTTTTAACTATGAGTTTTCATCTGACCGCTTCTGAAGTAAGAACCAAGTCAGCTTTTATGGGGGCGGGGGGGGGCAGTTTGCATCATTTTATTTCCTCGTTGTGGACGCTTGGAGAATACTGAGCATTTGGGGACGTCGTGCATTACTGTGCTGCAATTTTAATCAGGCTGGAGGACGAGTCTTCTTCTAGCTGTTTCCGTGGTTCCTAATAAGTTCCCTTGCACTGTGCGTTTTAGGTCATTTATCTTCAGTTTCTCCTTTGTTTTAAAAGCTTGGCAGACACTACGCCTATAGATCACTTTAAAAAAAAGGGGGGGGGGCCGGGAGGGGGGTAATATTAGCCAATAGCCCATAAAGTCCTCAGCAATTCAAAAACCCTAAAGACCTAAAAGCTGACCAGGCAGAGGTGACCAGTGACACTGGCCAAGTTGAGAGCTTGCGGAAGCTTCCTGGAAGCTTGGTGTGGCCTTGGGATGGGTGGAAATTCATCTCCTCGGCGGTGGTGATGGCCATGGTGAGGGAGATGTCATGAAAAGTAAGACGTAGGGTTCTACGAAGGTGTTACCTAATTGCAAAGCAGCCCAGGCCACTAACTGCGTTCGTTAATGGACGCTTACGTCACTACTTTGTCATCCTTGATACCGAAACTTGGCCTCTGTACAGTGGTGCCAAATTGAATCTCAGAGACAGAGTTTCAGGTGAAGTAGAAAGAATAGCTTCGTTGCTTTGCCCGGCAAAGGGGGACACAGCGGGCTGCTGCCCTCGTAACTGTGTCCCTGGGCTTCCCTGGTGGCGCACTGGTTGAGAGTCCGCCTGCCGATGCAGGGGACGCGGGTTCGTGCCCCGGTCCGGGAGGATCCCACGTGCCGCGGAGCGGCTGGGCCTGTGAGCCATGGCCGCTGGGCCTGCGCGTCCGGAGCCTGTGCTCCGCAACGGGAGAGGCCACAACAGTGAGAGGCCCGTGTACCGCAAAAAAGAAAAAAAAAGTGTCCCTACCTGGGGTGGGATTCGGTGAGGAGTTTTATAGCAATGGTTCAAAGGGTGGGGCTGCTGAGAAGGACCAGGGTGCCTGCAGGGCCTGCACTCCTTCAGTCTAGACGTCACCTGGGCTCAGGTGCTCCCCTGATGGGCTCCCCTGTGCTTCTCAGAGGTTATCAAACTGTGGCCTTCTCTTTGGAATGAAGAATGTCTTATCAAGTAGTTAACATCGTCCATTTGTTGGGGTTTTCAGTATCTGACAAACAGTATGGTCACGTGTATCCCTTGAGGGGAAACCAGGACCTGCCCCCAGGCTGCACTATTGTGTCTTCACTGCTCCTCCCTTGTCTCTGCATCCCCTCCCTTCCCTGATTGGCAACTGTGAATCTGCCCTGTTGGAACTCAGGGAAGGTCATGGGGGCTGAAGGAAGCCTATTTCCTGTAATCAAGAAACGGGGGACACAGGAAGGCTTTTGTGCCCAGGAGCTCCACAGGGCCCTGCTCAGTTTCATCCCCTTTAGTTTTCTTTTTCCCCTCCAATTTTAACATCCCAGCTCCATCGATTCCTTTCTTGTAAAAATCCCTCCCAGCCTTTTCAACAAACTATTGTCCAGTGGAGCGCTGTTGTTCTACAAGGTGCGGATGGAAATCCCTCCTGGGGAGCGTTTCTTGCTGCAGGCTATTTGGGGATCTCGGGTTAAACGTATTCCCATGGGCTTCCCTCCTACGGGGTCCAGAGAATGTTGGATGCTGGCCATCCTGTAAGATGAGTCACCCGGACCAGGGTGACTCACCCACCCCAGGGCGTGGGTAGCAAGCCTCAGGCTTGGGAGGGGTCCCTCTGTGACTCAGGGTTCCAGCAGCTGACACATTCCAACGAGAGGAAGGTTGCTTTCTGGCCTTTGTTTTCAAGCTCTGCTAAAACCCAGTGGGGAGATGCCTTTACAATGGTACCCCCAAATAACGAATTTATATTTGATACGAGTTATATGGCTTTTGGTATCAGCCTGACTGTCCCTTAGAAGCTAGTTCTGCTGATGGTTTATTGTGTATTGGGGAACACGTCTTGATTAAGGGGTTTTGGAACACTGATGAGACTCAGTGAGTATACTTTCTGCCTAACCCGTTTGGAACGATTCATAATGAAATGATAAAACGTGTAAAAACAGGCACGCAGCAAACTCAACACACACAGCAAACGAAGAGGGGAAAGAACTTGATTAGAACTTAAGTATGGAAACAGCGACACAGGAGTAGACGCTCTCCTTAAATTTCACGCTTGCCCTCTGGCTCACCCAGGTCCTGCGTGTATCTCTTGAGAAGCAAGGTGAGTCATTGAAGGCAGTGGTGAGCAGTCCCTTGAATACAGGGTGTTCTGGAACATTCTGCTGTGCCAGAAAGGCTCTGCAGGTGGAATGGGAGATCCTGGCAGAGACAGCGTTTTGTGCCAAGGCTCTGGGGCAGGAAGCTTGGGCGAAGTTTGAAGGGCAGATTAAGGGCATTTGTGACAAAAGTTAAGATTAACTCCAGTGAGGGAACGCACACACGCACAGCAGGAAGGGTAACACGTCATCGAAAACGTGAGATGCTTCTGTCCTGGTACTGATGACGGGCTTTTGCAAACAACGTGACATCTGCGATAACGCTAAACATCGGAACGTTCACGGGGCGGCGTCTGCCAGATTCTTTTCAGGAATCCGTGAACTTCTTGCTTTCAGAACCAAAGGAGGAGGTTCTGGGTGCCAAGGTCAACACGGTGTTTAAAGCTTTGGAGATGTTGAGTACCAGAGGCTCTGTGAAGGCGAGAAACAGCAAATATAAACAAGCCGGAATGTCATGTTGTATTTCGGCTTTCTGTATTGTGTGAACGGTTCATTGCGGGAAGATGTCATTCTTTTCCTAACATCAGCTTGGTGTTTTCCAACAGATATCTATCCAAGGCCAAAGCCACTGCCACGTCCCCAGCCTGGCAGCTCTGACAACGGTGCAGGTGAGTCCGGAGTACTGAGATGCCTTCCGGAAGCATTGGGAGGGATGCAATGGACCATCTCGGAATTCTGTCCTCGGGCGCGTTTGAAATACGCAGAGGTTCTTTAACAAGGAGTCCACCTGCTGTTACCAATCTCTCTGTTGACGGAGGATGCGTTTTGTTTTGTTTGGGGCTGAAAGAATGCAGCGCGCCCCAAAGACATCTCACGTCACTATGGAGGAAGGGGATTCTCTGTGTCCTTGGTTGCCCTGTTTTGGGTGTTCCGTTGAGTTTTGCTTCCCCTGTCAAGAGCCGTTTGGGGCCACGTGGCCTGAGTTCCCACCATAGATCGAGTGACGTGTTGGGAATCCAGGCACCTGGGGGAGGACCGCTCGGGAAGGGATGCTGGCTCATGGTGGTGGGAGAATCGCAAGAACTCCACGGCTTGGCCAGACACGTGTGCCGACGGGTGGGTGCTGGGCAAAGCTCAGCTCTACGGGTATCCTCGTTTCCAGCTGGTTGGGCGATGGGGAGTTCCCCCATTTCCGATTCTCTTGAGATATTATTCGAACGTTGAATTCCTAGGGTGCAAAACACCGTTGCTTACGCCCAGCCAGACAACCTTCAGAGAGATCCAAGCATCCTTTCTCCCCTGCAGGTTTCAGCTTGGGGTGGGGGGCATGTCTGTCTCCAAGACCTGACCTCTAGATCCTAAGCTGTGATCCTTTCTCTGCATCCCTTTGCGCTGCAGCAGGAGATCATGTTATACTTTGTAATGTGCCATGCCATGCAATTGTGGTTAATTTATTTCCTTGAGTTAGAATGAAAAGTACACACACACACACACACACACGCGCGCGCGCACACACGCACACACACACGCAGGGATTTTTGCCTTTCCTCCACCGATGCATCCCCAGAGCCAGAAGCCAGACATGGCACACAGTAGGTCCTGTAAAGATCGGTTGCATGAGCAATGCCTTAGCTAACTTCGGCGACGGAGAGCTCACCCCTAAACCCCTTCATCAGGACACATATACCCTCCACCGTGTGGTTGACTTGAAAGGTCTAACGGCCCCGCCTCCAAAAGGCTGTGCTCTTTGACTGACAGCGTCCAGCAAGATGTTCCTAAGGGGTTCTCACAAAGCTGTTCTCTGTTCCAAGGTGTTTCAGGAGACACCCTTTTATCATTATCATTATTATTATTATTAATTATTATTGGCCACGCGTCACGTGGGATCTCATGGAAAATTGTATCCGGGCCAGATTTGAGGGTGATATCCCAGGTAGAGCATCTCAGAAAAGTCTGAGAGCTGTTCCGCCCCGTTTAGAAGTCAGGGCCCACTTCTGTAAGTTTTTTGAGACAGAGGGCTGGACCTCGCAGCGTGTACTAGTGACAGGTTACACAATCTAAGCGTCACTGTGGCCCCTTACAAGATGGAGAAGGAAGGTTACCTTGTTAGGAGTCGTCTTGCTGGCGCTGGGAAAATGCTGCCGTTTACGGTTGAGCAGATATTCCTGCCGATGGGGGAGGTCCGACCAACGCCTAAGGCAGGTACAGATGCCCAGCGAGGGGTGGAGAGAGGAGGCCAAAGGGAAGAGAAAATTTCTTAGGTTTAAATGTTTCTTGCGCTGCCATGAAACCTGAATTTTATTTCACATAAAGGATGATAAACGACACAGATGAACGGGCAGACGAAGAGACACAGGGCGAGGGGGTCCCAAGTTAGGAGCTTCTGGAGTTGGGGTGCCCTGCCTTCCACCGTGTAGATAAATTCACTCGCTCGGAAGCTCTCCAAACCCCGTCTCCTGGGCTTTTGCAGAGGCCCTGTCACGGGAGCCGGATGAACTCCTCGGCCACAGGACAGGGTGAGGCTGAAAGCCCCCACCCTCCCATCGCTGGTTGGTTGCCCTGTTTCCAAAAGTCACCTCATGCACATAAACTCAGGTGTGGTTCTGAATAACAAAAGACACCTTCATCTCTTTTGTCACTTCACAAAAGACCCCTTTATCATTCCTATCATTTAGGAAATTCCAAGGGGCTCTGTGTTTGGATTAGGGAGGAAAACCAAACACGTATATTTCTGATGAAAATCACAGTGTCCTGTCTGCAACCTCTTTGTAAATCTTGCTTGAGGCTAGGGGTGGAAGTAGCAGGTTGGGGTAGACCCGGCCCCCTCCACCTCCACTGGTCCCGCTCCCCTGCTAGCTGTAACGCCTGCATCTCCCCTTCCTAGCTCTGTCTGTCCCCACCTGCCCGCTGGGAGGCCAGCTCCGTGAGAGCAGAGGTTTGGTCTGCTCTGCTCGTGGCCGTGTCCCTATCAATTTCATGGCGCTGCAGCAGAAGGCAGCCCGACCAGCTCTTCCGAATAAATGAATGACCGTGTGCTTGTCCCCTTCTAGGTGGAGACGGCTACCCCTCGCATGGCAACCCACAAGGTAACACACAGGGACGGGGCAGCCCACCTTTCCAGGAGCGAGCTCTCCACATCACTGTGGGATGAAGTGGGGTAGACGTGTAATGATTTCAACCTGAGGGTGTTCAGGGAGCACCTACTGTTCCCATGCTCGTCTGGAAGCTCCTGAACACACACATCTGTCCTTCAAGGAGGGGTCCATCCTGTGGGGGTCAGAGAGGGAGGGCGAGGACGGTCCTCAGGCTGCAAGATGCCTCGGAGCTCCGAGAGCAGGGCTGGGGTTCGTGGACCTGCCACTGGGCCACCAATGGCGTCCCTTTCATTGACCACTACTGACCGGTGGCCAAAATGGAGAGGAGAGGGGAAGTCATGGCATTCAGCCTTGGAGAGCCCCCAGAGGGCACTGCCAGCCCCATCACAGGTCCAGAAAAGGGGGCTGGAGTCCGGATGGTGGGCTGTTGTTGTGTGTCCCTGGGAGGATGGGGTCCAGTCTCTTGGTCATCTGGCATTTGGGTGGAGAGTGACAGTGAATCTGCCCAGCTGACCCCAAGACTTTGGGAACAAGAAAGGTGTTGAGGTGTCTCTCCAACCTTCAGACCCTATCCCCGTGTGGAGTCTCAGTGCTGCTGTTTGCTGGGTGTAGGGACATTCTGGGGAAGTCCATGGATGCGTCTCTCCTCGTGGGCAGGAGGTGGGGCAGGAGGGGTGCATCTCAGGGCAAGAATCCAGGTCTGACACGTGGTTTGACGGGGTCCACGGCAGGACAGAGGGACTCATCCTAGCCTGGGGCAGAATGGAGGTGGGTAAGGATGCTCCTGGAGGGGACCATCTCCAAGGCCGGGTCTTAAGGATGGGTGGGAGGCAGCCAGGACAGGAGAGGTAGGTGCTGTGGTAGGTCGGGCTGGGTACACCCCCGGGAACAACTGTAGTGTATGGGGCCAGGGTGTGGAGTGTGATGGGCAGGGGGCAACACTTGGGACTGGCCAGGCGACCCCATGGGCACGTCTGCACTTTCTACATGCTCCATGGGAGAAAGCCTGCCCCTGTTTATACCTATGTGACGCATGGATCAGAGGGCCAGTGATGGTCAGGGAGATCAGTGTTAAGACCCACTTAGTTCCCAGACTAAAGAGGATGTTGTAGAGACAGTGGACATGGGGATAAGAGGTCAGCCTGGAGGACCATTTGGTAGTCACCATTGATATCACGTGGTTGATTTGTATGGGATGGCAGAGAGGAAAGAGGTGTATCAGTTAGCGGTGCTATGTAACAAAAGAGCCCCAAACACAGTGATTTTAAACAACCACCATTGATTATGATGATGTGAGTCGCAATTGGGCTAAAACCAGCCCACATCCATCCAAGAGGCCAGGCCAGGCTGGGCCACAAGGCAGCCAGACACGGTACCAGAGAATAAAGAAGAGCATCACAGCTTCATGTCTGCCGGAGGTGGAATTGTTGCAGGACGAATGGCAAGTTTCCCTCCCAATTTTATCTTCCCTAAGTGTAAAGCCTAATAAGTATATGAATAAATGTAACAAAACAGAAGCAGACTCACAGATACAGAGAACAAACTAGCGGGTCCCAGTGGGGAGAGGGAAGGGGGGAGGGGCAAGATAGGGGTAGGGGATTAAGAGATACAAACTGCTGTGTATAGAATAAATAAGCAACAAGGATATGTTGTACAGCATAGGGAATAGAACCAATATTTTATAATAACTTCAATGGAATACAATCTATAAAAATGTTGAGTCGCTCTGTTGCATGCATGAAACTAATAGAATATTGTACATCGACTATATTTCACTTAAAAAATTACTTTAATAAAATAACAACCAAAACAACTTAGGTCCAATAGACACACTGACACGTCTTCCCACGAATCATCTGTATCTAGGAAATTTGTTCTTAAGATGAAAAATGTTTCATTTTATTTAGAATTTATTACTTTTCAAAAAGTCCTTGAAGTCGTTTTGTTTTGTTTTTTTAACATAGGCCTTTAGAGCTGATTTGAAACCACACCTAAATGATGGCTTTTAAGATCTCTTCTTGTTATACATTTTTTTTAATTGAAGTATATTTGCTGTACAATATTATATGTTACAGGTGTACCATATAGTGTTTCACAAGTTTTAAGAGTTATACTCCATTTACAGGTATTATGGAATATTGGCTATATTACGTTATAAAATTCTTTGACAAATATACGTTACTTAATTTATTTAACTTAGGTAATGAAAGGCTAAATCCTTTTGAATACAATCTATCAAAAAAGTTCATGCAAAATGCATACTTTGATTTCGTGAGTAAAAGGTTTTGTGTCTGCTTTTGTTTAACAAGGCAATGTGTTTAAAAAGATTGCAAATAGGGGCTCCCCTGGTGGCGCAGTGGTTGAGAGTCCGCCTGCCAATGCAGGGGACACGGGTTCGTGCCCCGGTCCGGGAAGATCCCACATGCCGCGGAGCAGCTGGGCCCGTAAGCCATGGCTGCTGAGCCTGCGCGTCTGGAGCCTGTGCTCTGCAACGGGAGAGGCCACAACAGTGACAGGCCCGCCTACCGCAAAAAAAAAAAAAAAAAAAAATTGCAAATAGAGTTGAAAGCAGTCACCCGCGATGCACCTGTGTGAGCTGTGTTCAAGTGTCACACTCAATAAGTGATAACATATTTTGAATTAAAAAATACTTTCTGGGGTCCTTCGCTGGTAGTGTTGTTTCTGATACAGTCCAGTGTAGACCCCCTTGCATAATGGAGGGATGTTAAAGCTGGGCCTTTATTACGGACCCACGGGGGACTTGAGAGATGCTTTTGAAAAGGTTTTCTCATCTGTAAGATTTGGTTTCACTGCCACAGACCTTACATAAGTAACTTGCTTTTGTTTTCAGTGCACTTTCAATCACAAGGGAGTCGGCAAAGATATTTGGGTGGAGTCTGCAGTGTTTAGACCCTTCTCCCAAAAGAAAACCACAGAAGGACTAAATTGCAAACCTTTCTGTCGAAAGGTGCATAGACCCCAGGGAAATGGGTTGGGGCCAGGGCTGGGGGCGTGCTGGGACTTTCTGCTTCACCTTTGGGTCCAGGCTTCCGGGTTTGAAGAGTTACACGCCCAAGGACGGGTGGGTAGCCGTCCTTGGGAGCAGAGATCCTGTCTGCTGAATCGTGAAAGCCCTAAAGACATCGCTAAAGGGAAGATGGGCGGGGGGTGGGTGGAGAGGGGAATGCTTTATTGCAGAAACAGCAGCTCAGATGTTAACTCGGGGTCTCCCAAGGTTTGGTTCTGAGACCAACCGTGTCTGAATCTGTCTGTGTTTTGCCAGGGGGCCTCCACCTCCAGGAAGGAAGCTATGAAACAAAAGCCTGTTCCAGGAGTATTTTTTTAAGGATTTGGGCGAATTCAAAATCCCAAAACCTACCCTTGGCCTCCCTCTGCTGGTGGGTGGGTGGTACTGCGCAACCCCCTGGCCGGGGCGAGCCTTGGTGTACGTAACCCCGGACCCTGAAAGTTTGCGGGGCGGGTGGGGAAACAGATTATGAAGAACAACGTTACTTTCCGGGCAACATGCCTTATCATTACAGAGACACTGTGCATTAATTTCGCTTGCATCTTCGGCCAAACTCTGTAAGCACTTGTGACCCCGGGAGCTCAGGGCTGAAAATGGGCAAGGAAAGTGAGGCATCATCTCAGGCGCAAACGTAAGGGGGTGGAGGGAGCCCCAACGAGCGAAGTCACCAAGATCAATACTATTTTAGTGCCATATTTTTTTTTTAAAAAAATAACAAAATGGCAAGCTACAGCCTGCCGGCTTGCTGCCTGTTTATGTCAGTGAAGTTTTACTGCAGCGAGAGGCAAGTGAGGCATCGTAGACTGGAGCCCACGTTTATTTCACGTTTCGATACTATGCTCACGGTGGGCTTTTTTGGGCTTTCATTATGATTTTTTTTAAAAAAAACACTGCATTCAAGTATTACGACATATCCTGGGTTTTTTGGCACCTGCTACAATTTGGTGGCCACTCACCTCCCCCTATTTGAATTTCTGCAGCAGGGGCAGCTTTTGTTCTTTCTGGTTCATACCCTTCCCGTCTATATGAGGTGGAGGCCCTTTCTGGTTAAAGCAGTGTCCTGTCTTGAAGCTCTCTCCTGCCTTTTTCGGGACTAGATAAAATAACATGTCCAGCTGATTTACTTTGCTGTACAGTAGAGACTAATACAACATATTATAAAGCAACTACACTCAAAAAAAAAAAAAATTCTGTCTGCTTCCTCAATTATCGTTTAATGATAACTTCACCAGGTCCACGAAGGGACCGAATTTGGCTGCAGTTCTGTGAAAGTTAGCGAGCTCAGAGTCAAGACATGCTGTGACATCACTTGGGCACCCCTCCCACAGTGTGCAGGACTGATCCCTGCTGGGTGCAAAACCCGTAAACCGTCTAAGAAATATGGCAGCTTGACCTTCCCTCTGTGGTCCGGTGTTGATGCCCACCATGTGGCCAGGGAATGCCCACTCTCTCCCGAAGGATGGTGGGCACGTACGTTGGCCAGCTCTGCAGGGGTTAGGAGCAACGCACGACCTGTGCGTCTGTGTGCAGCCCAGTCCTGGAGCTTGTGTGTCTTGTAGGGACAGTGATGGGGATGGGGGCCTCTCACATGGCGACAGAGGTCCATGCGCTCAAGGGGACCGTGTGAGCCTCACACTTTGCCTTTATTTCGTCAGATGGACGTAATAGTAACTCCCCGTTTGGAGGTTATGAAGACTAATTCGGCCGCATCCCCCAAAGGGGTTTCTACAACTAGGAGTCGTCACCCAAAAGATAGAGTTACTCGATTCACTTAAAATGTTCTAAACCCTGAACAGATAGAAAGCAGCAGAAAAGATAGCAGGACTTTGAGATCAATCCGTAGAGTTTTTTTTTCTTTTTTTCCTGGCTATGACATCTTGCATCCAATCTTTCCTTACAGAACCAGAAAACATCTGAGGCCTTCAAAATCCACCCTTTGCTTTGAGATAAAGGCTCCACCCAGACCAGAACCACCCTCATCACTCCCGTGCCATGTTCCTTTCCTTCTCCGCTTAAGCAGCTGCCCTGAAGGGTTTCCCCTCCTGTTTGCAATAGACGTGCTACCTAACCAAGAATTCCTAATTCCTCAGACACATCGATCATCATAAGGTAGACAGCTGGACCTTGGGTTGTAAAATGACTGCTTGATCTGTTGGTTCCATCGTGAATCCGGACAGAGAGTCCAGCTCTGGAATGAACTCCGAAACTACCTCCTGTTGTGACCTCGGGCCATCGACGTGGTCACAAAGCACAGGGGCAGCAGGATAGCACCGGGGTCTCGGGCGGGAATGCCATCGGCTTCTAAAAGATGCAGACAGACTGCTGTTTGGGTTTCCAGCAAGCTGGGGTGAGAAGATTGACTGATGCCATAAGTTTCTTAGTTATGTCAGGAATCCAGACCTGTTCACCACCGCCCGTGAATCGGGAATGAGTGATTCCCGACACTAACGGCAGAATTTGAACGTTATGTCAGCTCCCAAGAGTATTGTCACCTGCAGAGGATGAGGCTGGATTTGGGAAATTTAAGTGCAAAATCGCTGATGTGGAAACCGTCTCGGGGAAGTGATCATGGGGTGCTTTTTTCCTGTGAAATAGTCCAGTTTCTACATTTTTTTGGAGAACGTGGGGTAGAAATAGAGATTTGCAGATGTTGTGGCTTTTCGTATTATTTTTGGTCTTTGATCCTCCGTGGGTACCAGTTCTTAAGGCGACGGCAGTGCCTTCCTTGGTTTATACTTTTCTTTTTACTGGACTAGATGATCTTCTATCCTCAAATATCTAAAACGCATACTAGCTGTTTGGTTCTATTTTAGTAATGCTTTAGGGGAGAGGGAAAAGGATGGTTTGGGCAGATTAGTAGAGTTTGATTCAACTGAGATTAATGCTGATAGAATTGTAGAGTTTAAATATTAGAACCAAAGAGGAAGCCAGCCCGCTAGAATCTGGACCTCATAAAGAGGACACGTTAACATTCCAAATATTTATGCCTTGAGCTCACCCTTAAGGATTGAGAGCTGGGTCTGCAAAGAGAAGTTGAAAGCAGAAGGCGTTTGCAAGAGCTTCCCCAAAATGGAAAAGAACTTAAAACTAAAGGTCCTGATGAGACGGCTCAGAATTGCATGCCTTCCCGTCCTGGATTTACAAAGATTTGAGCCATTTGAAGACTGTATTTCCTATTTTACGATGCAGGTCCTAGGACTCTTCCCAAATCTTGTTAAGCTTCCCCGTAAGTGAGGATGCCCGCTAAACATAATTTAACTCTTGTTCAAAAGTGTGTGTATGTACACACACAGATTTACACACAGATGTACATAAATGGAAGTTAAGCATTTTGAAAGGTAACTCCATCCCTTTTCTGTAACTGTCATGGGCAACTTTTCAT